TCTTATCTCGTGGCTGGTCTCTGTGCGTCTGCACCGCGGTCTCCCTGTCTTGCATCTTCACTCCGACTGTGGTGGCGAGTTTGCCTCCGGCGTCCTTGGTCGTTCCTGTCGTGCGGAGGGCATCACCCAGACGTTCACCTTGCCGGACTCCCCACAGCAAAATGGGGTCGCTGAGCGACGCATCGGTTTGGTCATGGAGGTGGCTCGTACCTCCATGATCCATGCTGGTGCACCCCATTTTCTGTGGCCATTCTCCGTTCGCTACGCCGCTCACTAGCTTAACCTGTGGCCGCACCCCCAGCAGCCGCAGGTTTCACCGACCCTTCTTTAGACCGGGTCCCCTGGTGACGCGACTGCGTTCCACGTCTGGGGCTGCCTTGCTCACGTTTGTGCCTCTGCCACGGACAAGCTCACTGCCTGCACCATCCCCTGTGTCTTCCTTGGTTTCCCCCTTGACTCATCTGACTGGCACTTTTACCACCCGCCGTCTCACCGCTTCTTTCACTCTCGCGACATCACATTTGACAAGTTCGTCTCTTTCTATCACCGCTTTCCCCACCGTGGTCCCCTGATAAATCCCCCCCTATTCCTGGTTCCCTCTTCTTCGCTCGTTGCTGCTCCCCCCCCTCCCCGCCCTGCCCTGTCTGGTGTGTCTCACGTCACCCCCCTCCCGTCAGTTGTCCCGGTCGAGGAGTCTGCTGATTCTAGTGGCCTGCAGTGCAGTCCTTGCCGCCCGCCCCTCCCCCGGTGTCTCCTCCTCCGTCGTTGCAGCAGCCGTTATCGCAGCCGCCGCCGCCGCTGCCGCCGCCGTCGTCGCAGCCGCAGCAGCTGCAGTTCGTCGACCCTGGGGGTGCTGGTGTTGAGGAGGGTGCTCGTCCTCGGGTTCGTATCGTGGCTTGTCCCGGCACACCTGGGGGTGGTACCGTTGCTGGAGCGGTTCCTGGTTCTAGGGGTGCTGGAGTGGAGTGTTCTGGAGTTGGCCGTGGAGCAGCTGGCGGTCCCGGTGTCGCCGTCGTGCCGCCGTAGCAACAGTCGCTGCCGATGTCAGCCCTTCGCGTGCTCGGCCTTCCGTCCCATGACCGCGCGCCTGTGCCTCCTCCACCGTCTGCTCCCCTTCCTGTCTACGGCCCCGTCTTCCGTCCTCCAGAGTCCTCTCCGGCTCGTCTTCCTACGCGTTCTTCTCCTATGTCTCCTCCTCTGTCTCTTGACCCGACACCTCCGTCTCACGTCTGGTCCCGCTGTCCCTCTCGTGCTCGTCCTGTCTCTCCTGTTCCGCGCTCTTACCCTATGTTGCTCCGTTCCCACGCGGCTCGTCCTCCCCTCCTACCGTCACCTCCTCCGTCCTCCCTTGTTGTCGCGCCTCCCCCTTTGTCTGACTACCTTCGTGCAGCTCGTCCTCTTGTTTCTCGGGTCCTTGCCTCTCTTATTACCAACCCGTCTCTTCCTATTTCGCGTCTTCACACTCTTGTCGTTGCGGTCGCTGACTTCGCCTCTACCTGCCGCCTTGACTACGCCACCACTCTGGTCTCTGACCTTGCTCGTCCTCCGTCCGTCGGGGGTGCTCCTTCCCTCGGAAGTGACGTCCTGGAGGACCGGCAGTACAAGCTTGCTTTCTTGTCCAAGGTTGCTCCCGACCTCTGTTCCATGCTGCTACTCCCTAAGGGTGACCCAGACGCTTTCGACATCCCGACCCCTCGCACTTACGCCGAGGCCACCTCAGGGCCTTGGGCCTCTTAGTGGATAGCTCCCATGGAGCACGAGATGGCATCTTGGAGATCCATTGGCACCTACGTTGACGTTGTTCCCCCATCTTGGGTGAACGTAGTCGATGGCCGGTGGCTCTTCAAGGTGAAGTGCCCCCCTGGAGAGCCGCCTGTCTTTAAGGAGTGCTACGTGGCTAGAGGGTTCTGTCAGCGAGAGGGGGTGGACTTCTTTCAGACCTTTGCCCCGACCACGAAGATGACTACTCTATGGGCGCTGCAACACGTAGCAGCATAGCGTGACTACGAGTTACACTCCCTCGACTTCTCCACTGCGTTTCTTCAGGGCAGCCTACACGAGCACGTCTACCTGCACCGCCTTCAAGGCCTCACTAGTACCTTCTTTCCTTGTACCTTGTGGCTACTGAGCCGTCCGGTCCACGGCCTGCGACAGGTGCCCCATGAGTGGCACGACACACTGCGTGCTACCCTTTCTGACCCGCAGTTCTTTCCATCCTCTGCAGACCCCTCGCTCTTCGTTCGTACTGGCCAGTCCTCGTTCTACATCCTTGTTTACGTAGACGACCTGGTCTTCGCCACTGTAGACTGCACTGGCCTAGGAGAAGTGCGCCACTACCTTGGCCTCCAGATCTCCAGGGAAAGAGCAGCGCGCACCATCACTCTCACCTAGTCACACTTGGTGCGGTATGTCTTTCAGAGGTTCGGTCTTCATTTCTCCTCCGCACAGCCCACACCTCTGCCAGTAGATCACAGGCTCTCTGCTCCAGTTCCTGAGGAGTCAGTAGAGCCTAATGGTCCTTACTCAGAGTTGGTGGGTTGCCTCATGTACCTGATGACTTGCACTCGTCCAGATCTCGCATACCGTCTCAGCATCCTGGCTCGCTTTGTGGCCACAAGCAGACACTGACCACAGCACTGGTCAGCCGCTAAGAGGGTTTTGCGTTATCTAGCAAGTACATCGCACATGGGGTTAGTGCTAGGAGGACGCAGGCTAGTGGTCCTTACTGGGCACACTGACGCTTCTTGGGTAGATGACGCTGAGACCCTCATGTCCTCGCAGAGCTACTGCTTTAGCCTTGGTTCAGGTGCCGTCTCGTGGAGAGCTACTCGCTCCTCGTCTGTTGCCCAGTCTAGCTGTGAGGCCGAGATCTACGCCGGTGCCATGGCGGCACAGGAGCTCCGCTGGCTGACCTTCTTGCTCACCGACTTAGGTGAGCGGCCTAGCTCTGCCCCGGTCGTGTACGTTGACAACACGGCCATGATCCTCCTATGTCAGGAGCCTCGACTTGAGGGCAGAGCGAAGCACATCCAGCTGCAGTACTTCCTCCTGCGCGAGCTACAGTAGTGCCGCCAGGCTCGCGTAGTACACTTGGCCTCAGGTGCCAACACAGCTGATATCTTTACGAAGGCGCTTTCGCCTAAAGATCATCAGCGGCACTGTATACAGCTAGGTCTCGTTCTTGTAGCCTCTCACTTGCTAGGGCCTTGATTATGTACAGACCTTTATATATATTTTACCCAGACTGGCCTTGTGGCCTCTCCAAGTAGCTGGACTAGTAATGCCGCTCTTGTTTTGCTCATGTTTTGTCTGTACTCCTTTTGACTGGTCTTTAGACCCTTGCCTCAGAGGCTGGACTAGTAGTGCCGCCCTGAGCTGCTTGTTCACTTCTTAGGCACTGCCCTTATATAGTCTAGGGGGTGTGTCAAATATAATTTAGTATGTTATTATAAACTATATAGGTTTGTGTTTTAGAGGGTACAACAGACTAGCCTATGTTGCCTTGTACTCTCACATTCTAGTTCATTCTTTCAGTTTGTTAAGGTCCACCCACTCGTTGTCTGTTGCCTAGTCTAGCTGCGAGGCTGAGATCTACGCAGGTGCCATGGCGGCACAGGAGCTTCGCTAGCTGACTATCTTGCTCACAGACTTAGGTGAGCGGCCTAGCTCTGCCCCGGTCTTGTATGCTGACAACAAGGCCATGATCATCTGGTGCCAACACAGCTGATATCTTTACGAAGGCACTTGCGCCTGAAGATCATCAGCGGCACTGCGTACAGCTTGGTCTCGTTCATTTGTTAGGACCTTGATTGTATACAATTCTTAATATATTATACTGACCGGCCTTGTGGCCTGTTCCCAGTGGCTAGACTAGTAGTGTCGCCCTCGTCTTGCTCTTGCCTTGTTTGTACTCTTTTGACTGGTCTTTAGATACCTGCCTCAGATGTTGGACTAGTAGTGTCTCCCTGAGGTGCTTGTCTCGCACCAGACAGTGCCCCTATCTAGTCTAGGGTGTGTGTTTCAAATATATGTGTGTATGTTTAGTATACTACATATGGTCATGCCATAGAGAGTACAACCCAATAGCTTTATATCCCTGTATTCTCACTTTCTAGTCATCACTTCTAACTCTGAGACAATGTAGGTGTTATGTAGAGGTTTACGGGAAAAATAACTTGATGTAACAAAGGTACAGTGTGTCCTTGACGGTCCACGTTAAATTTGATGAGGAGGTGCCTGTTGTGGCTGGAGTCCCTTGGCCTAAGCAGCTACAGTCGCCACCTGCGACACGCGGCCCTTGGCTGCAGCGGACTGCTCCCTTGGCTGTTGCCACCGCTGTTTTTGGAAATGGTGGTGCCGCCAAATATGGGCCACACCGAGTTCGTCGTTTGCTCTTGTCGCAAGTTTAGGGCGTGGATCCTAGGATTGTGCAGGCCAGAATTGCGCAGGCGGCTGCGGTATTGACTTTTTTTCCCGGCGAAAAGTTTGGGAACAAATTGTGTTTGCGACATGTGTAACCAGACTAGATTGCGCAACTTAGCCAGTTTGGGCAACCCTAGGCTCCTAGGCTCCACGCCTTTAGTGGCAACCTCCGACAGTTGACCCCGAACTGTGCTTTTGCTGCTCAGGTAAACGCCGTAAAAACAATGGCTCTACAGTTCAAGGTTGCTGGAAGGTCCTTTCCCAGGACAACTGTAGTAATGCTCCTTGTCATGTACACTTGAAAATTCGGTACAGTAACCTGGCATGCTAACTGAGAAACTTTGCTAAATGTGGGAACTTTCACGTTTGCCCTGAAGTGGTGGCAACCCATCCCGGGCGGCAGTTTTTGCATGGAGGACAAAATTTCCCGGGAAGGAAATAATTGCCTTGCCCCACCAATTGATCAACTGTGTCGTTCCCTTTCATCCTCTTTGGGATGAGCATATGTCCAAATTGTACAGGAAGTTTTTGCTCAATACCCTACCCAACCATACTAGAGAATGTTTCCATTTCTCTGACACAAACGGAACCTCACCCAACCGCATTCAGAACAAAAACTTGGGGAGACTCACACAGAGAACACTTGTTAGCAGAGACGAGAAACCCACATCACCATGTATACTGTATGTGGACTTATCACGAGAGGCGAAGAGGAGCGTGAGCCAAAACCAGGACTTCCCACAATGTCGTGAACAAGAGAGGACCATGGATCCCATGCGTTATGCGAGGCCGATCAACTCCTATTTAGTTTATGACTACTGATGTAAGGATGTGAGAGGATGACTTAGCTGGGTGAGATAGGCGGAGGAACAATACTGACTACTAAATAGGCTGCTGCACCACTAACCCAGAGTCATGACTGGCAGTCCACGCGTAAATTAGACCAGGTCTCGAACTGTCGTCAGCCGCGGCGACAGCAGCCATGGATTTCGTAGATGTTGGCACTTGCATTCCGCGCTTAAATCCTCCGCTTCAGCAGCGTCCATTCCCCACACCCGACCCTATGGCTTCCTCGTTCTCGTCTTCAAAAGGAAATACTTCCTCATCTTCCATATGCGAACGCTGCTCTAAACCGCGCGACATGTCGCATCCATGGCACCACCCCGTGCTCTTCGACGAATCCTGCCAATCAGATCTCGGCATTTGCCGGATTGTGTGCACGGCGCCGCCGCAGCCCCCGACGCCGCCCGCCGCAAACTCTTCATGCGATGCACCGGGTTTGCGCGGGGGGGAAGCTGCCAGTAATAATTCCGCCAGCTGTTCCACACGCGCGGTACCCTTCAAAAGGCGCAGCGCAGGACCCCAGCGGCTGTCCGTGCGCGAAGAAATGGCGGTGCAACGCGAGCGTCGCGTGCGTATCCGCGAGCTCGTTGCCCGCGACCCCGCGGCGCTCACTCCGCTCACCGACCCCGTCCCCGCGGGTTGCCCGGTGGCGCGCGGCTTCTTTCCGCAAACGGCGGTTCTGGCGGGGAGCGCGCAAGATGACGTGTTAGAGGTGGAAGTCCGCACGAACGTTCCTCTCGAAGCCGTCGATATCGGGCTCGAGGCGCACAATCGGCGAATAGGAGACGTGTACGACGTGGTGCCGTTGTTCGCGATCCCAATAGGCAAAACGAACGGCCCGGGTTCGAATCTCGACGACGACGAAACGTCAGCGACGCCGCGGGGGATTAGACGGAAAGCGTGGGCGGGCAACGAGGACGAGGAGGATGAGGAGGACGAAGTCCCGCTTAGTACGCGGTCTTTATCCTCGAAGAGCGGTAACGGGGGAAAGTGGGAAGGGCGGAAGCAGGTTGGCGGAGTGGAGTGGGACGGCGGAGGCGGAGGCGCGGGAGGGAAAGCGGGGAGGTTGGCGGGGGATTCGCGCGCGCGCGCACAGCAGTGGCGGGTGGCGGTGGTGGCAGCGGACGACGAGATGGCGGCGGACCCCGCGCTGCTGTGCGACTGGTTCAACGTCGGCAGCAACACGAGGGCGCTCTCCGCTTATCTGCAGCGAGGTACACGCAACGATGTACGCGCAACTTACGCTGGGTCTTGATTTCTGAGTCGACTTGAGCGACATGGCCGCGGACCCCGCGCTGCTGTGCGACTGGTTCAACGTCGGCAGCAACAAGAGAGCGCTCTTCCGCGTATCTCCAAAAACGTACGCGCATGTCGCAGCTTATGCACATCGTGCGCTTTTAAGAAGCACGCGCAACTGATGTATGCATGCCTTCCTTCCCTTCCCCTCCCTCCCCCGCATCATTCCTCCCCCCCCCCCCCCTCCCTTCCCCGCATCACTCGTCTCCTTCCCCCTCCCTCCCCAGACCGTGTCGGCCCGCTGCTCCTCCCGGCATGGCGATCGGGCCGTAGAAGCGCGACGAGTGGCCTGTGCTGAATCTATCAGCCTAACCGACCAACGAGGAGTGATGAGTGATGTCCCACTTGTCTCCTCATCACTCCCCTCCCCTCCCGTCTGCTCCCCTCCCGTCCCCTCCCCTCCCCTCTCCTCCCCTCCCTCCCCAGACCGCGACGGCCCGCCGCTGCTCCTCCGCGGCATGGCGATCGGGCCGCAGGAGCGCGACGCGGCGCGCAACCTCGTGTCGAGCGCGCACTTCTCGTGGATGCTGCAGTACGCCGTCGACTACGCCATCTGCCGCTGCGCCGCCGCCGCCGCAGCCGCTGACGCTGACCTGGCGCCGATCGAGAACTGCCACGTGGCGAAAGCGGCGCGGGTGTCGGAAGACGCGGAACGGTGCAGGGGCACGGCGGGGCCCGCCGCGGAGGGGGACGAGGGCGGGAGCGCGGGAACGAGAACGGGCATGGCGGGTTCTGCGGAGAGAGGCGGGGAGGCTCCGCCGTCCATGGCCGCCGCTGCGGCAGCCGCCGAAAGCACGAGAAACCCCCAATCTACTGGGCTAGGGGGTGCGAGAATTTCATCTCTCCAGGTCGGATCGCCGGGAAACTCGCCGGAAAGGGAAAGCAGCAGTCGCACATTAGACTCCCCCAGAGCCGCTTCTCATGTCTCCGGTTCTGATCGCTCCGGTACCTTGGTCGCCGAGCTCGACGATCGAGCGTCGTCGAATGCGGCGTCGCGTGCGACGTCGTACAGGCGCTCTGCGACGCTGGGTGCGATGGATCTTCACCGGATCATCGCTGCGACTGGCGGGAGGCGGTTGCGTGCGACCACGGGCAGCGATCAAGAAAGGGGTGGAAGCGATAAAGAGAGGGGTGGAAGCGATAAAGAGAGGGGTACAGATAGGAATCAGAGCGGTAGAGACACGGGTGAGAGCGGTCGAGAGAGGGGAGGGAGCGATAAAGAGACGAGTGACGTGAGCAGCGTGACTGTAGAGGTACGGCAGAGTAAGGAGTTTAGTCTGGCCGCACTCGATAGTAGAACAAGAACGAGCAGCGGCGGCAACAAGAACAGCTGCAGCAGTGCAACCACCGTTAGTGGCACAAGCTATACCCCTACTGGCAGCTCCGATAGTAGCTCCTGCAGCAGCGGGATGTACAGTAGCGGTTTTCTCGACGAGGGGACAGGCAGGTTTGGTTACGCGAGTCGTAACAAAGACAACACCTGCAAGAATGATGCTTTTTTTGTTAATTCGAAAAAAGGCAAAAGTGACAGCGACGTAATGAAGGGCCGGAAACAGGGGGGGTGTAATAAGAATGTGGAGGAACAGGAGAAGGGGAGAAAAGGGTGGATCGTGAGACACAGTGACCAGGCAGGTGGGGAAGGAAGGGGGGAAGGAAAGGGGGAGGTTGCGGGAAGTGCAAAACAGGCTGGTTTACGGAGCCCACATTCGCCATTGCACGGCATTTTTCGGCTTGTGCTGAACTCTTCCTGCTTCACTCCACATGAAGAGCGCTTTACCTCGGGTGGAAAAGAGGCAGAAGCGGCAGAACAGGGCACTGCCAAGGGCACCAGAAAAGGCATTGGACGCACAGGGGGTTGCTTAGGAGGCTGGAACAGAGGGTTTGTGGCGGGCAGTGGGAAAGAAACAGAGTTTGAAGATTCTAGTTTGAAGAATTCTGAGGAGGAAGGGGGTGGGGAAGCAGCATCAGGGCACGGAGGGGCGGAGGCAAGCAAGGGTGTGATCCAGGATCTTCAGCAGCAGCAGCAGCAGCATAAGCCACAGCAGCAGCAGCAGCAGCAGCAGGATGTTACTGACACGTGCTCCCAGGATGTGTTCAGTTTCCTTCGCGACCCGCGGCTCACCTCCACTGTGCCAAAAGAAGGAGCCGCTTGGAACACATATGATAGCAGCACAGGCGCTACAGCATCAGACCGCTACAGCAGCAGAGACGCTACAGTAGCAGACCGCTACAGCAGCAGAGGCGCTCCAACACCAGATGCACGCCTGTATTCCAGCTCTCCCCCACATACCAGCCTCCGTGTGGACGTACCTGGAGAAGGTGCTATCTGTGTCAGAGAAGGGTTGGCTGATAGTGATAGAGCTATGGAGGGGGACAGCACAAGGTGCAGGCAGCCGGACCAGCAGGAAAAGAGGCATTTGATCTCCCACCCTGCATCTGCCCCTGCCACCCCTACAGAAGCAGCCAAACCTGTCCTGCTGTGCCGAGACCCCACTCTCTCTGACCGCCTGGCACCTTGTGGTGGGGATGGCGGTCAGCAGCAGCAGGAGAGGCATTCGCCCTCCGCCCCTGCGTCTGCTCCTTCCTCCCCCACACGTGATCCTGCCGCCCCTACAGCAGCAGCCAAGCCTGTCCTGCTGCCTAGAGGCCCCACTCTCTCTGACCACCTGCCGCTGTGCCATGGGGAGGGCGGCCGGCAGAGGGATGAGGGGATGCACGAAGGGGTGGTGGGGACGGATGGGGGGGAGCGGACGCAAGGGCTTGTGCAGGGCGGGTTCCAGGCTGTGCAGCAGGTGCAGCAGCAGCAGCAGCAGCAGCAGCAGCACCAGCACCACCACCACCACCAGCAGCAGCAGGGTCAGAAGCAGCAGCAGCAGCAGCAGCAGCAAGGGAGGAGGAAGGGGATGACTCGTTGTGTGTCGATGGGCATTCCCAAGCTCTCAGCCTCCTTCAGCCACATCCCCCACCTCAGTAACTTTGACTGGACCGCTGACGCTGCAGTTTCGGCTGCCGATGCTGATGCCAGTGCTATTGCTGCCGCATCTGATGATGCTGCTGCTGACTTTGGTGCTGCTGGTGCTGCTGGTTTTGCTGGTGCTGCTGCTGGTGGCTTGGGGGCTGGTTCAACCACGGCCGTGCATGTGCCATCGGTCAGCTTCAGCTCCCACAGGGGTGTAAGCATGAGGGAACTGCCTGGCGCCACACATAGCCATGGCTTTAAGAGGGCGTTAGGCAAGAGCTCGAGCTACGAGACTGGCTCGACTGTCTCAAACAGGGGCGCTGGAGCGTCCCTTACGTCCCTTACAGCTCATGCAGAGGTCGTTGCAGGGGTGATGCAGAACAATCCACACGCTGTCCATGGCTTTAAGAGGGCTTTGGGCAAGAGCTCCAGCTACGAGACTGGCTCAACTGCCTCAAACAGGGGCTCTGGGGCGCCCCTTTCGTCCCTTACAGCTCATGCAGAGGTCGTTGCTGGGGTGCCGCGGAACATCCCTCACGCTGGCCATGCTCCCAAGAGGGCGTTAGGCAAGAGCTCCAGCTACGAAACCGGCTCTGCAGGCGCAAGCAGGGTCGTTGGAACACCTGCTGCGTCCCTTAAGTCCCTCACAGCTTATGCTGAGGTCGTTGCTGGGGTCCCGCCCACTGGCCGTGCTGGGTTTGTTGCTGCGGCGGTGTCGCAGGAATTCACGTCCCGGAAATTTACACACGATGCTTTGGCCCATGAGGAAGAGACACGCACGGACGAAGATCTCTTCCCCGCCCTAGCAGAGACTGACACTGGGGTCTCCCCTCCACCACCCTCGCAGCCGTCCCCATTTCTCGCAGCAATCATATCATCCTCCCCTGGCTCCTGCTTGCTGACAAGCACCCATTCCCATTCTCTTTCCTCCGTAAAGCCCCCCACTCCGTCGCTCACGATCGCCTCCCCTTCCTGGCAGCCGGAGCCGCCATCCCGCCAGCTGTCGCGCTCCCGTTCGTCCAACTCTGCCGCCGCAGCGGCCCGTGCTTCCCCGTCGCCCCGCCTGCTGCCGTCGCCATCCACTCTCTCTGCAAGGAAGAGAGCCGGTGCGATTTCCTCTGCTACTCCTCCCTACGTTGTGGCCCAGAAGAGTGATGCCGCAACTCGGAAGGACGATGCCTTGACCCAGAATAAGGATGCCTTGGTTGTGAGGAGAGAGGAGGGAGCGGGGAGGCTCTTCGATGTGGAGGAGGGTGAGGAGGATGAGGAGCAACCTGTGTTTGGGTCGTCAGGGAAAAGTAGATCTTTGACTCACAGAAGACGAGCATCTTTACCCTTGTTGCCGTTACCTGCACATGTGTAGAGGAACAGGAAGTGAGATAGCACCAGCATGAAGAGAAAAAGAACCTAGGATTTCTACGGCATGTGGGGTATTAAACAACAACGCATTTGTTTCATAAAAGAATGTACGTTTGAGGTAAGCGCTTTCTTGATAAAGCCCTTAGAGATGGAATTTTTATACTCCTTATTGACAGAATATCACAATGGGCACAGGAGCAATGCAGTGTGCCACGACCATACGCGCACTCAAGCGTCAAACAAGCTTCTGCGAGGAAGCTGTCGGGGTTGTTGTAAAGACGGGGAGGGGGAAGCCTTGGGAAGTGCAAGCGGAGGAATCAAGGATGGAAAAGAACCAGCGGCAAAAGTTGTGGTGGTGTTTAGTTCTGTTTTCTGCCGTCTTTCTTTCTGGTTCCATTCTAGTCTTGAATTGTTTGGAGGTTATGAGACTTCCTTGCTTGGACGCAGGGTAATAGCGGTGGATTCGTTGGACGCTTTAGCAGCGAGATTTACGCTTTATAACATCTATTAGTTCGTGCTAATACTGTTAGGAACCCATTTGGCCTAAGGCTATCGCTAACCACCTCCAACGCGAAACGACGACCAGAGCCACGTGGACTGAAACTCGGCTATTTAAGGGCGTGCTCGTTACCTCGCCACTTCGTGAAGTTAAGGTATCTCTCAGGAGCGGCACCAGTAGCTGTACGTCTTGACAGCTCGCTCCCTTCGTTGCATGCTCGGACCCCTCAGCGTCGTTCATCTCATCTGCAACGCCAGGCACTGACCTCAATTTAAAATGAAGAAATTAAAAAACCGTCCGGAACCGTGATGCGAAAAAAAGCGCATCGAAATCGACGAGCCGGCAGTGTGGTCAGGCGCACATTGCGTACACGTCTAGCTATAAGGCGCAGCCACTTTCAGGAGGTACAGGTATTTCCAGGCGTGAGGAGTCTATTTTGTGGCGCCTCAAAAATAGACTTTCAGGAGGTACGGGTATTTTCATCGAATCTCCACGCATTTCAGCTATAAGGGTCAATGTTTTTTCCAAAGGTACCGTTGCTCCCTCAACCACGTCCCACGCGTTTCAGCATGCCTGCGAGCAGCATGCCTGCAAATCTCTATTCAAGAGCGCGAACGTCTAAGGCATCGCGTCCCGTTCCCGCGCTCCTGCTATCGCTCAGCGGCGCGGTTCTCGTTGCCGCCCTATTGGCCAGTTCCGCCGCCCGCTCCTGCGCACAAGAGCCATCGGCGGAAGCGCGCGGTCGCGGCTTGCCTGCCGTCCCCGTTATAAGCTCACCACGGTGGCCGCGCAGAACACTACTCGCTGACTCCAGCGGAAACAGTAGCAGTAGCAACAACAGCAATAACAGCGGAAACAACAGCAGCGGGAATAGTGGGGGAAACGGCAGCAGCGGGAGCGATACGGTTGTGGTTATAGCGCTGGTGGTGGCTCTCGTGGTGTCCGTGATTGTATCGCTGGGCGCTACAGTGGTGGCCTTTATGCTGTGGAAGCGACTGCCGCCCAGACAAAAGACAAGGCCAGGAGAATCCTCAGGTGCTGCAGCTACAGTATCTTCCTCAGTCGCTCCTGAAGAGGAGGTGGGGATAAGGGGAGGGGGAGGTGGCGCGGAGGGGAGAGGAGGAGGTGATGCGGAGGGGGGAGGGGGGGGCTCTAGCAGGGGGAGGGAGGAGAGGGGAGAGGGGAAGAAGAAAAAGACGATAGCAAATAACGAAGGTGGAGGAAGGAAAGGGCGGGGTAGAGGAGAAAGTGATCGAGTGGAAGAGGACGCAGGGGAGGAAGGGGAGGAGGAGGAGGGGGGGGGGGAGGAAGAGGAGGAGGAGGATAGACGGCAACAGCTGCGGAGGCTGAAAAGGGAAGAGCAGCAGAGGCAGCAGCAGGAGCAGGCGCAGCAGCAGCAGCAGCAGCAGGTTCGGCCCGAGCCTGACGATCCAGGTTCGACAGGAGGCACGGGAACGTTTGACATTCAAAAGGTGGTCAGCTTTCCTCTCAAGCACCTGGTAGACGCCACCAATAATTTCGCCTCGGGCAACCACCTCGGGCAGGGCACCTACGGAATGGTGTACAAGGCGAAATTACCCTCCGGGGACGTGGTAGCGGTGAAAAGAGCCAAGGCCGACAGGAAGCAGGACGCGGGGAAATTCCGCGTGGAAATAGAATTGCTATCGAGGGTTAGTCATAAGAACCTCGTGCGGCTGGTGGGGTATTGCAGGGAGGGCGGAGAGCAGCTGCTGGTGTATGAATACGTGGCTGGAGGGAACCTGTCGCAGAACCTCAACCCCACCTGGAGAGAACGTGAGTGTTTTGGTGCAGTTTGTGAGCACAGTCCGAGGGCTTGTGTGTGGCTCGGGGCTGGTTCGCTGGTGGGGTATAGCAGGGAGGGGGGCGGGCAGCTGCTGGTCTGTGAGCATAGTCCGAGGGCTTGTGTGTGGCTCGGGGCTGGTTTGGCTGGTGGGGTGTTGCAGAGAGGGGGAGAGATCAGGGCTGCTGGTGTGTGTGTGTGAGCCCGTGGCTGGAGGGAATCTGTCGCAGAACCTCAAGAATTTAGTGCAGAGGTGAATTTTGAGTTGGCTCGAGAATGTAGTGCTGACTGCTTGTCAAGTGGTATGCGAATATGTGTGGTGGTGGGGTACGGACGGGAGGGCGGGGATCTGCTGCTCGCGTATGCTACGTGGTTGGAGGTAGCTTTTGAGTTGGCTCAAGAACTTAGTACTGACTGCTGGTTAAGTGGTATGCGAATATGTGTGGTGGGGTACTGCAGGGAGGGCAGGGGGCTACTGCTCGTCTGTGCTACGTGGCTGGAGGGGCTTTTGAGTCGACTCAAAAGCTGGCTTTGAGGGAAGGTATCGCGAACTCTGAATCCGGCCTGGCTGTACTCCACTCCCCTCCCTCCCTCCCACCTGCAGGCCACAGCCGCCCCCCTCTGAACTGGACGGAGCGCCTGCTCATAGCCGCAGGGACAGCACGCGGATTGGCGTATTTGCACGAGGAGATCAACGTGCCGTTCATCCACCGCGACATCAAGGCCAGCAACATCATGATCGACCGCCACGTGGTGGCCAAGATCGCAGACTTCGGCACGTCCAAGCCCATGACGCCCGAGGAGCTGCGGAAGCTGTCGGTCACCATCCAGGGCACTGCGGTGAGTGCCATGTTGGTGTGACGGGCGAGGCAGGTATGCGTGTGCCATGTGGTGGCCAAGATCACAGACTTTGGCACGTCCAAGCCCATGACGCCCAAGGAGCTGAGGAAGCTGCCGGTCACCATCCAGGGCACTGCGGTGAGTGCCATGTTGGTGTGACGGGCGAGACAAGTATGGTGTGCCATGTGGTGGCCAAGATCGCTGACTTCGGCACGTGCAAGCCCATGACGCCTGAGGAGCTGAGGAAGCTGCCGGTCACGATTGAAGGCACTGCGGTGAGTGTCATGCTTGTGTGCAGTGGTGTGAGGGGCGAGACAGGTATGCATGTGCCACGACACGTGGTGGCCAAGATCGTTGACTTTGGCACGTCCAAGCCCATGAGGCCAGAGGAGCTGAGGAAACTATTGGTCAGGATCCAGGGCAAGGCGGTGAGTGCTGGGCTGTTGGAGAGGGGTTAGATCTATAGCAAGTGATGGCGAGGTGTGGGACAGGAATGCATGTGGCGGCCCAAGAGATGCATGGGATGCAAGAGATCGCTGGCTTCGCCATGCCCAAGCCCATGATGCGTGAGGAGCTGAGGAAGCTGTCGGTCACCATCCAGGGGGCACTGTGGTAAGATTCTACTTTATGATTCACTGTACACGACACTGCAGTACAATGCTACTTCATTATTCACTGTACAGGGCACTGCAGTACAATGCTACTTCATTATTCACTGTACAGGGCACTGCAGTACAATGCTACTTCGTGATTCACTGTACACGGCACTGCAGTACAATGCTACTTCATGATTCACTGTACACGGCACTGCAGTACAATGCTACTTCATTATTCACTGTACACGGCACTCCAGTACAATGCTACTTCATGTTTCACAGTACACGGCACTGCAGTACAATGCTACTTCATTATTCACTGTACAGGGCACTGCGGTAAGATGCTACTCTACTGTTCACTGTACAAGGCACTGCAGTAAGGTTTTTTGGCGCCAGGCCTTCAAAGGGATCCCAGGCAGACATAAGGGGTGTGTGTTAAGGGTGTACCAGTGTTCTGTTAGGAAAAGCGCAGTCATGTTTCAAGTCCCAACCAAAGCCTTCATCAGCCTACTGTGCACCTCACTGCCTCTTCGTGGGTCAGTAATTCCGATTTGAGTTGACTAAATTTCTCAAAACGGAATTACTAACCCAACCATAGCCTTCATCAGCATACCGTGCACCTTTCTGCCTTTTTCTCCTCTCCCGCCCCACTCCCTCCCTCTTCCCTCCTCGTATATCTGTCTTCCGACCTTCCGCCCCCCCCCCCCCCACCCCTCCCCCTCCCCCACCCCCACCCCCCCCCCCCGCTCCTCCCCCTTTTGAAATCTATTCCCAGGGTTATTGCAACCCCGACTATCTGCGCACGGGGCACTCGTCGCAGCGTATCGATGTGTACTCCGTTGGCATCGTGCTGCTGGAGCCATTGCCCTTCTCCCCCATCCCCTGGCCCCCTCCTCTCCTACTCCCTACCCCACCCGCCGGCTGCTTTTGAGTCGACTCAAAACTCCTCTCCTACTCCCTACCCCACCCGCCGGCTGCTTTTGAGTCGACTCAAAACTCCTCTCCTACTCCCTACCCCACCCGCCGGCTGCTTTTGAGTCGACTCAAAACTCCTCTCCTACTCCCTACCCCACCCGCCGGCTGCTTTTGAGTCGACTCAAAACTCCTCTCCTACTCCCTACCCCACCCGCCGGCTGCTTTTGAGTCGACTCAAAACTCCTCTCCTACTCCCTACCCCACCCGCCGGCTGCTTTTGAGTCGACTCAAAACTCCTCTCCTACTCCCTACCCCACCCGCCGGCTGCTTTTGAGTCGACTCAAAACTCCTCTCCTACTCCCTACCCCACCCGCCGGCTGCTTTTGAGTCGACTCAAAACTCCTCTCCTACTCCCTACCCCACCCGCCGGCTGCTTTTGAGTCGACTCAAAACTCCTCTCCTACTCCCTACCCCACCCGCCGGCTGCTTTTGAGTCGACTCAAAACTCCTCTCCTACTCCCTACCCCACCCGCCGGCTGCTTTTGAGTCGACTCAAAACTCCTCTCCTACTCCCTACCCCACCCGCCGGCTGCTTTTGAGTCGACTCAAAACTCCTCTCCTACTCCCTACCCCACCCGCCGGCTGCTTTTGAGTCGACTCAAAACTCCTCTCCTACTCCCTACCCCACCCGCCGGCTGCTTTTGAGTCGACTCAAAACTCCTCTCCTACTCCCTACCCCACCCGCCGGCTGCTTTTGAGTCGACTCAAAACTCCTCTCCTACTCCCTACCCCACCCGCCGGCTGCTTTTGAGTCGACTCAAAACTCCTCTCCTACTCCCTACCCCACCCGCCGGCTGCTTTGCCCCCTCCTTGAGGGCTATTGCAACCCCGACTATCTGCGCACGGGGCACTCCTCCCAACCCTGTCTCCCTATTCCGTTTCCCCTCCCTACATTCCCCCAACACCCCCCCCTCCCCTCCGGTACCCTCTCTCTTTTCTTCCCAGGGCTACTGCGACCCTGACTATCTGCGCACGGGGCACTCGTCGAAGCGCATCGACGTGTACTCGTTTGGCATCGTGCTGCTGGAGCTGATCACCGGCAAGGGCCCGCACAAAGTCAACCGCCCCTACCGATTTGATGTGAGACTGCTGAAAGAGGGGTGTGGGTGGGGGGGAGAAGGGAGAGGGGGGGGGAGGGTGGGGTGTGAGGGTGAGGGGAAAGAGGTGGGGGGGAAGGGGTGTTGGGGGGGGGGGTACATCATGCGCTATGCACCACCATGGCATAGCATGGCATGGCATGGCATGGCATGGCATGGCATGGCATGCATTCGGCTGGCATTGTGCTGTGGGAGCTGGTCTGGTCCCTGGAAAGGGGCCGCTCAAAGTCAATCGCCCCTACCGATTCGATGTGAGACTGTTGAAAGGGGAGTGGGGGGGGAGACACTGTGTACTATGCACTGCACTGTGTACCATGCACCATGCACCATGCACCATGCACCATGCACCATGCGCCATGCGCCATGCACCATGCGCCATGCGCCATGCGCCATGCACCATGCGCCATGTGCCATGCACCATGCGCCATGCACCATGCGCCATGGGCCATGCACGTTGCGCCATGGGCCATGCACCTTGCGCCATGGGCCATGCACCTTGCGCCATGGGCCATGCACCTTGCGCCATGCACCATCGGCCTGTTCTCTCAGACGAGTTGCAGCGTCTTTCAGACCTCATCCCGTCTCCTCCCGCCTCTCCAATCCCCCACCCTCCTGCCCATCCCCACAGGTCAAGGATCGCTTCGACAGAGGCGGGCTACCTGCCATAGTGGACCCCACCATGGGGCTGTACCCCGCGGACGAGCTGCAGCACGTGTTGGACCTCGCCCTGCGCTGCACCGACATCCAGAACCCCTCTGCGCGCCCCTCCATGTCCCGCGTGGTGGCGGAACTCGAAGCCGTGCTCGAACCAGAGACCGTCACTCGCTTCCATACCTCCTCCGGGCCTCCCTCCCACGGCTCGGCTTCCTTCCATACCGCCCAGTCAGGCTTGGGAGTGGTTCCAGGAGGGCACGGATTGGGCCAGATGCGGTTCACCGAAGCTGGGAAGCAGGTGGGGCCGGTTGGTGTGGGAGGGGATGCAGGTTCGGCGGCAGTAGGGCCAGCGGCAGCAGGCTCGGCAGTGGCAGGTTCGGCAGTGGCAGGTTCAGCAGTGGTAGGTTCGGCAGTGGCAGGTACGGCAGCTGCGGCAGCGTTGGCTGCGGCAATCAGTTCGGCTTCTCCGTCTCGTGCTGATGCTGGTGGTCCGACTCACCCACCTCAATCTCAACCCCCCCACCCATCTCACCTCCAACACTCCCTCCCTCCCCATATGCCCCATCCTGCCTCGAAACGAACGCCCGGCCCTCCAGCATACAAAGGCCGAGCAGCAGCAGGTGCTGCTCCTCCTGTGGCGGCAGTAGGGGCCCAGTCTGTCACTGGTGCTGGGTTTGTTGGTGGGGATATTCGGGGTATGGGTGGGGAGGGGGACAATGATGGGTCAATGGGTCAGTACAATCCACATAGGGGTGGTGCATATGCTGCGGGTTATGGTGTCGGCATGGGGATGACACCTGCACCAGCTCCTGCCTTCCGTGGGGCTTCAGGAGCACCTGGGGTAGGTGCAACTGGGGAGGGTGGTACTGGCGGTGGTGTGGCTGGGAATGGTGCCGATGCTGCTGCTGCTCAAGGGATTGGGACTGGAGGGCGATATGCTAAGGATAAGAGAGGTGGTGGTGGAGATGGAGGGGGGGGTGAGGAAGAGGCGGAGGGGTATGATGAGAGCATGGATGCGTCATTCGATAACAGTGGGTTTGATCGCAGCGGGGTGTTCAGTTACGGGGCCATGCCGCCTGCTTAGACTCGATCAATGATGTTGGTTCAAGCACCTGCAAGTGATTATGTCTTGCATTTGTTTGAACGCGTTGATTTTGCGTATGTTTCTGATTTGTCTAGCCCTGCTTGGGATGCGTATTGCATGCATTGTATGTTCGAGCCCAAGTTGATACTACTATTGCTCAAGAACCAGCTTGCACTGTATTGTCATTTCTTTAGTGGTTCACGTTTCCGATTTCCTCCACTTATCGCGTATATCGTTTCTGACACTTGCTGTGGAATTTCCAGAGAGTTCCGCGCTGCGGCCAGAGTAATCCCCAGGCGCTGTCCCGCTGCTGGGAGTTCCTTGTCTCAGGGCTGTCCTAGCGCCGTTTTCAATTAAACCCTACCGAACCGTTGTACGGCGATATCTCATCATTCTGAAACCCAATTGACCCGCATTCAGATGTACGCTTAGGACACGCCCCCAGTGGAAGGGGAGTGTGGCAGGCCCAGTTCCTTCCCTGACTTGGCGCACTGCTTCTAGAATCTAGAGCTTCCCTTGCCTGAGTAGCGTTTAGAGCCCACTACTGCGGAGCTCCGAAAATAGCACGCACTGCGGCCAAATCTATGGTAACCTGGTTGAGTGGCATGAGGAGGAACGAGGGAAACCACCATCTAAGGTAGTTTGTTGGTGGAATTTGCGCGAATTTCCGCGGTCGTATATAGTACTATATACAAACGAGTTTCCTGGCTCGAAGAGGAATAAGCTGCCATCGCCATGTCAGCTCGGTGCTGTCGTCCCGCCGTGCGACAAAGTTTCTCTCATCGCTCATCCGTGCGACAAAGTTTCTCTCATCGCTCATCCGTGCGACAACGTCCCTCCCGTTGCTCTCCTCGCGTCCCGCTCGTCCTTATCCTCGCCGCGCTTCTACTCGCGTCGCCCTACCCTGACGGGCCTGTTCGCGCCGCTTTCGCGCGTCCGACCGCGTGGGCGATTAAGTCTAGTTCCGAGGCGAATAAGGCTTGGCTCGAGGCGAATCAGCCTACTTCTGAGGCGAATGCGTCTAGTCCTCCGGCGAAAACGACTAAATCTGGAGCGTATAAGTCTAGTCCTGGCCCGAATAAATCTACTTCTCAGGCGAATGAGTGGGCGTTTCTATTTCGGACCCGGTGGGCGGATAATTTTCGCCCGGTTCGCGTGCGCGTGCCGCTGCCGAAGCTGATCGGCGGGCTGGAGGACAAGAAGAACCGACTCGCCAAGACGGAACGCAGGTGAGGCGCGACCGCACGTGTGATAGTAATCCGGTTTTGCGACGTGCGATACGGTTTTGTGATACGTCTCAAAAACTGATTTGTGGGCTGGAGGACAAGACGAATCGACTCGCCACGACGGCCCGCAGGTAATAAGGGCGCGAGTGTGCGGGTGATACTGAACTAATTTAGAGTCAGTTACGCGAGTCAGGCCACGGGTCCAGAGGGCATGGCATGGGATTCGAGCAAGGGATGGCCGTATGTAGGCGTGAGCGATGGGCGGATCTTGAAGCATACCTTACCCCCCTCTCCCCCCTCTCTCCCCCCTCTCTCCCCCCTCTCTCCCCCCTCTCTCCCCCCTTTCTCCCCCTCTCCCCCACCCATCTCCGACCCCCCTCTCACCCCCTCCCCCCCTCTCACCCCCTCCCCCCCTCTACCGTCAGGTACTTGGGCCAGGCCACAGGACCCGAGAGCATAGCGTGGGACCCGAGGGGGGGCGGGCCGTACGTGAGTGTGAGCGACGGGCGAATATTGAGGCGCAAGGCGGACGACAGCGACTGGGAGGCGTTCACACATGCCTCGCCGCACAGGTAGGGTGAGGAGCTCGCGCGAGGAGTTCACATGTGCCTTGCGGCGCACAGGTAGGGTGGGGAGCTCAGGTGCGTGTTCTGGGGGTAGGGTTACGTAAGGGTGGTGTGTATGGCACAGAGGGCAGACAGTGGTGAGGAGCAAGGCGGACGACAGCGACGGGAGGGGAGGGGAGGGGAGGGGAGGGGAGGGGAAGGGAAGCCGCATATCACCTTCCCTTCCTTTCCCTTGGTATTCTCTTTTCGCTTCTGATTTATCGTCGTTCCTTCGGACCCGTTGTCTCCCCGACTGATTCTGTTTTCCTCCTGCTCTCCCTTTGCTCCTTTCCTACTCTCGTTATCGGCACGCTGCCGTTATTGTCATGCTCTTTTTATTCTCAAGAATATCTCCTTATCACGTCGCTCGCGATACTGCCATCCTCCCCTATCCCGTCGCTCACATCATTGCCATCCTCTCCTATCCCCTCGCTTACATCATTGCCATGCTCCCTTTGTTATGTCATGTTCTTTGCCCCCCACAAGAACCTCGGCGTTGTGTGACTCGCGCACCCCGAAATTGGCACTAGAGGCCAAATGCGGCCGACCATTGGGCATGGCTTTCCACCCCACCACCGGGGACCTCTATTTCGCAGACGCTTACTATGGGCTCTTCAAGGTGAGGATTGAGGGAGGGCCACTTGGTTGCCATGGCTTGATGTGGCAGTAACATTCTTGAGGCGGCTCAAAAATAGACTCCTCACGCATGACTTGATGTGGCAGCAGCAACATGGCTTACTCAGTAAGCGACTGAAGAAGCGACTGATGTTGGCAACATGGCTTCTTCAGTCGCTTACTGCAGGCTCTTCAGGGTGAGGAGGAGTACTAAAGGGAGGGGGAAGGCGACGGACCATTGGGCATGGCATTCCAACCCACCCCCGGGGACCTCTATTTCGCAGTCGCTTATAACGGGCTCTTCAAGGTGAGGAACACCCTGTGCTCGTTATAAGAGGTATCGTGAAGCTGCAACCTCAGAAATGTCAGCTGAAATGTTGGAATATAAGTGCACGATTCAGGCCTTTCGTCTTGGCATAATGCAACCAGCCAAAGGAATCACATGCCTGTTTTCCGTGGGTCGATAATCTCGTTTTGAGACGTCTCAAAGCCAAGGGAATCACATGCCAGGAGGTGGGCTTCCTCCTGAGCTTGCCCTTCTTTGGGTGAGCTGTGTTTTGTGACATGCGCCATGCCCACTATTGCGTGACATGCGCCATGCCCATTATTGCGTGACATGCGCCATGCCCACTATTGCGTGACATGCGCCATGCCCACCATTGCGATCCCACCTGGACCCACCTTTCGCCTCTCCCACCGTCTTCCCCGCTATTTCGATCCATTCCTCCCTTTTCCCAGCCCCCCCCCCCGTGGGCAGCACAGCACCGGCGTGAATGAAAATGGCGTATCTTGAGTCGACTCAAAATGGTGTATCTTGAGTCGACTCAAAATCTCACCTCTCCTACCTTCTTCCCCGCTATCTCAATCCCTTCCTCCCTTCATCCAATCTCTCCAGGTGGGCAGCACCAGCGGGAAAAAAACAAAATGTCGTGAGAGATCTCAATCTGAAAACAAATTTACCTGCCCTCCCGGGATCCACCTCTCACCACTTTCACCTTCCCCCCTGCTGTTTCGTTTCCTTCGTCCCCTAACCCTATCTCCCCAGGTGAGCACCACTGGTGGCCATGCCATGCGGCGAAGCTGGTGGATAGCAGCGCATGATGATGTGCAACGACCTGTCACTAACTGCTCATGCATCATCATGCATCATCATGCATTCTCATCCCTGCTTGCTCGTTCGTGGCCCCCCTTGTGCAGGTGAGCAGCGCTGGCGGTCCGGCGACGAAGCTGGTGGACGTGGTGGATGGGGAGCGCATGATGATGTGCAACGACCTGGACATCGATGCTGCTGCCAATGCTGTCTACTTCACCGACTCCAGCTCCCGATGGGCCCGCAGGTGGGGGGCATGCAGGTGGGGGGCATGCAGGTGGGGGGCATGCATCTTGGGCTTCGTGGCAAGCGCATGATGTGGATGGGGACGAAGCTGGTGGATGTGGTGGATGGGAAGCGCATGATGCTGTGCAACGACCTGGACGTCGATGCTGCTGCCAATGCCATCTACTTCACTGACTCCAGCTCCCGATGGGCCCGCAGGTGGGGAAGACTTGATACTTACTTCTGCCTTTTTTGTTCTTCCGATCCAAACCACTTACTTTTTCTCTCCTCTATTTCGTGTTCCATTTTCTGCCATCTGTTTCCTCCCCTCCTGCTGGAAGGGTGCGAGGATGGGCGGCTGATGAAATGCATACACATATATGTCTATATATATACACACATATGTATATTTGCGTAAAGATATGTTGAAGTATACTTCTTATGAATCTGCTGCCACGAACTTCCTTCCTCGCCTTCTAGAGGGGCACAAGGACGGGCGGTGGATGAAGTGTGGTGTCGGCACGGGGAGGACCTCTGTGCTTGTGCTTATGCTTGTGCTTGTCAGCATACAGACATCAATATCTGCATATGCTTGTGTGTGCATATCATTCATCTGTTGCCAGGGACTCCCTTCCTCTCGTTCTGGAGGGGCGCAAGGACGGGCGGTCGATGAAGTGTGATGTCAGCACGGGGAGGACTTCTGTGCTTGTGCTTGTCAGCATACAAGCATCAATATCTTCATATATTTGTATGTACATATCATTCGTCTGCTGGCAGGGACTTCCATCGGCATGGGGAGGACCACTGTGCGTGGCAGTATACAGACATCAATATCTTAATGTATTTGTGTGTACATATCATCCATCTATTGGCAGGGACTTCCTCCCTCTCCTTCTAGAGGGGCGCAAGGACGGGCGGCTGATGAAATACGACATCGGCACGGGGAGGACCACCGTACTTGTCGACAAGGTCGCATTCGCCAACGGGGTGGCTTTATCTCGGGACAAGAAGTTTGTTGTGTTCTGCGAAACAACCTACCTCAGGTAAGCTATGGTGGATTAATTTTGTATGTTTCGGGCTTTATCTGCATGGCTTTTTGTCGGGACAAGAAGTTTGTTGTGTTCTGCGAAACGACCTACCTCAGGTAAGCTGAGAGCTTGGGATCAGCAGGTGACTTTTGAGTAAACTCAACAAGTGTTTTTTTAGTCGACTCAAAAATCGCATTCGCCAACGGGGTGGATTTATCTCGGGACAAGAAGTTTGTTCCGATCTGCTTCCAATGTCTTAGGGGGTGTATGAAGTGAAACCGAGAATGACGTCCTGGGACATCAGCGACGGCTTAGTGTGGTTACCCCATGTAACAATTACTGTAGACGCTCTGTCAGTGTTCAGCGGAAAATACGACGCATCCGAGCCCAGCTCATTTTGCGCTGCCCAAAGCAATGCCCGTGGGCAGGGGTCTAAAAAACAAAACCAAACATGCAGCGAAAGCACGAGCCAGCTCACGAGAGAGGGATTTTTGCAAGTGGAGTGCCAGCTGGCTTTGCTTTGCATCGCTCGGCACAGCCACTTGTGCGGTGTGGTCCAAAAACAAAAAACATTTTTTCCAGGCAAACCTTTTTGGTCACATCGCGTTTCCGTTTTAGCACCCTCAATAAAGTTTCCAGCATGTTTCGCATTTCGTCGTTGTTCAATGTGCTTGTTCAGCCCTTGGAATAAGCAAACTTGACGTTGCGCGGACGTCGCCGAGTGACGTCAAAATAGCTTATCGGGCATGGCCCGTTTACTTCACACACCCCCTTACATCCTTTCCGAGACTACTGTGGGTTTTCTGATTGTGAGACCCCGAGGTGCGCGCCTTGTTCTGACCTGCTTCTTGCGTCGCCCATGCTGTTCAAAGCCAGAGTTTGCTCTCGTTGTTGTTGCCTCTTGCTTCCTCCTCTCACTTTCCTCTTTTTCTTCCTCATCTCCCTGCTCCCTCCAACTCCTCCCTCTCCTCTCCTCCCCTCCCCTCCCCTCTCTCCATTTCCATTCCTGCCCTCCCCTCTTCCACTCTCCCTCTCTCTCCTCTCCACACTCAGGTGTCACCGTACTGCATTTTACTACATTCACCCTCTCTTTTCATCCTCGTCGTTGATTCAGGTGCCACCGGTACTGGATCCGAGGGCCGAAGACCGGAAAGAAGGAGGTGTTTGTGAATCTGCCCGGGTACCCTGACAACCTCAGCCTCAACCCCAGGGGCAGGTTCTGGATCGCACTTAACTCGCGGAATTCCCTTTTCACAGGTGAGGTGTAGGCTTATCATTGGTTGCAGGTGGTACTAGTTTCGTTTTGAGTCAACTCAAAACGAAACTACTATCACTCAACAACAGGGGAAGGTGTTGGATCGGCTCTCAACTCGCAGAACTCCCTCAACACAGGTGAGGTCTATGTTCACGGTTGGTTGCAGGTGGCAGTAGCTCCGTTTTGAGTCAACTCAAAACGAGACTACCATCACTCAACCCCGGGGGAAGGTTATGGATCGCACTCAACTCGCAGAATTCCCTTTTCACAGGTGAGGTATAGGCTTAGGTTGCGGATCACGTGTTCTGGAAGCGGATTGGCTGCTGAGCCACACTTGTTGCAGCAGGAATGCGTCCGAGTTCAGCATGGTATCAAAGGGATGTCGCACAAAGGTACATGCTACCACATGCATGGGCTGAAATGGGACTTCATTATTTGATTTGATGACGGTTGTCGCCCAATATTCACAAGATTAACACTGGCGTTTTTTCTCTACTCGTTCGCTAGCCCTCCATCTCCATACTATTGTCACCCCACCCGCGCTTCCAAACCGCCCGCCCAACCCCTCATTCCACAATAACCCCCTCCAACCCATGTGGTTTGGCTCCTACAGCATTGCTTATGAGGACTCCAGATATTCGTGGGGCACTGTTGAGACAACGTTTTGGGTACACTATTGCGAAGGGCACTTCGGAACAGCTAGCAAGTGGAATTTTAGTTGAAGTGGATGAAAATGGGAAGATAACCGATGTTTTAGAGGACAAGAAAGGCGAGAGAATAAATCAGCTTAGTGAGGTAGTAGAAAGGGATGGAAAACTATGGCTAGGGTCCGTTGTTAACGACTTCGTTGGAATAGTAGATTATAGTATAAGGTAACTAATTAATTGTCAGGTCCTTGTATCATAATTCCTAGAAGGTTCTTTATGAATCATCATATTGTAGCTATTCCGTTTATGCTGGAGGCACGCCGTTGGGCCCCTCTCGCCGACATAGTTTTCGTCGACCAGTTAGAAAACCCGAAACCCAGACCGCTCGCGGTTCGATGCCACGGAGCTTGCTTCACCCCAAAGCGCCTGCGGAACCGAACCAAATCCCCCCTCTCCCGCCAATTTTCACTCGCGTCATCAACGCGAGAGGGGAAATTTGAGGAAGGACGAGGACGGATCACACAGCTCAGGCACGGGTCAAGACTCAAGATGATGGGAATTAGTTATGGGCCCAGGTTTACCGCCGAGATGGGTCAACGGCAGGCAAGACGTGAGGATTTTTGTTGTCGAGTCCCGAGTGCTCATTGCATTGAAAAGCGCTGGTGCATTGCGAATTCTCGTCATTTGCCGTTTGGATATTGTTGTCCATTCGTCAGGAGGTCTTTAGTGCAATCGACGGACTTACAACTGAACAATCCACGCCATTAGAAACGTGTTATTACTATACGGCCGTCAAGAGCCATCATTTAGAGACCTTAGGACCCAATCCAGAATCTCCCGCCTTCCCATTTCTCTTCCTTTCCTTACTCTCCGTGGATCTCAACCCGTCATGGCGCGTCGAAGTTACGGTCCGTCGCTCCTGTTCATAGTCGTGGCGCTAGTTCTACTAGACACTCTTGGGTGCGCTGAAGGGGGTATAACGATGCGATGGTCCAAGAAGTTCAAAGCCGCTCGAGTGAAGCTCCCTCCTGCGAAGCTATTCCCGAGGACGGACAAGAAGAACCGGCTCGCGCGCGCCACCAAGCGGTACTGACCTTCGCTCGCTTGTCGCCTTTTCTCCTTTCTCATGTCGCCTACCCATCGTTTCCTGCCAAGCTATTCCCGAGGACGGACAAGGAGAACAGGCTCGCACGCGGCATCATGAGGTACTGTGACTTTTTTGTCCTCGAGTCCTTTTTAGACTCAAAAATCGACTCATTACACAAGAACCGGCTCGCACGCGGCATCAAGAGGCACTGTTACTTTTTTGTCCTCGAGTCCTAAAACGCATTCGCCTTTCGACCCATAAAATATATGTGCAGAATTCGCTTACTTATCACGTATCCCGTTTTCGTCGAACTGCCTAGTCCAACATGGGGAGCCTTGTTTTGAGACGCCTCATAAAAAAGACTCCTCACGCCAAATTTCGCACCCTTTTGTCGTGTCCCCTTGTCATCGAACCGCCTAGTCAAACATGGATGAGCCCCTTCCCGTCAGTCCTACTATCCTCTCCCATCACCTCACCCAACCACCCACTTCTACCAGCCCAGGCTGTCAGTGACAGCGTAACTCAACTTCCGAGGCTGTGATAGGCATGTGAATTTTCAAAAACCTATGACCACCCATTTTTGAGTCGACTCAAAAGAGAATCCTAAAGACCCTATCACCACCCATTCCTACTTTTGAGGCGCCTCAAAAGCTATCACCACCCATTCCTACCAGCCCAGGTTGTCAGAGAAGGTGTGACTCATGCAACTTCCGAGGCACTTGGAAACTGTTCGCTTTGATTCTTGACGGGAAGGGGATGCACGTGAGCTTCAACGACGGGCGAATCATGCAATGAATCCCCCCCCCATGAATCCTTCCCCCCCATGTATCCTCCCCCTCATGTATCCTCCCCCTCATGTATCCTCCCCCTCATGTATCCTCCCCCTCATGTATCCTCCCCCTCATGTATCCTCCCCCTCATGTATCCTCCCCCTCATGTATCCTCCCCCTCATGTATCCTCCCCCCCATGTATCCTCCCCCCCATGTATCCTCCCCCCCATGTATCCTCCCCCGATTCTCTCTCTCCCCTTCCCCCTCCCCCCAACCCCACCCCCCCCACCCTCCCTGTCCCCCCCTTACTCCCTAGGTATGAGGGCCAGGCGGCGGGTCCAGAGAGCATCTCGTGGGACCCCAACGGGAAAGGCCCATACGTGCACCTCAGCGACGGGCGAATGATGCAGTGTCTCCCCCCTCCTCCCCACCCCCCCCTTTGAACCCTCCCTCCCCCCTTACTCCCCAGGTACGAGGGCCAGGCGGCAGGCCCGGAGAGCATCGCGTGGGACCCTAACGGAAAGGGGCCCTACGTGAGCTTCAGCGACGGGCGAATCATGCGACGCAAGGACGACGACAGTGGCTGGGAGGAGTTCACGTACGCGTCGCCGCTGCGAACTGCGGCGCAATGCGACTCCACGAAAACCAACCCGAAGCTGGAAACCACCTGCGGGCGACCGCTCGGCCTGGCGTTCCACCCTACTACCGGGGACCTCTATTTCGCGGATGGGTATTTCGGACTGCATAAAGTCAGCTCCGCGGGAGGCCAGGCGACGAAGCTCGTAGACGAACTCGACGGGAGGAAATTTATGATGACGAACGACCTAGATATTGACGTGGACGCGAACGTCGTGTATTTCACGGACGGCAGCTCGCGATGGTACCGGCGGGATTTCCTGCCGTTGACGCTGGAGGGGCGACGCGACGGACGGTTCATGAAGTACGACATCGCGAGCGGCGAAACGACCGTGATTGACGGCAAGCTGGGGTTCGCTAACGGCGTGGCGATCTCGCAGGACAAGACGTTCGTCGTGTACTGCGAGACCACCTACCTCAGGTGCGGTTCGGGGTTGGTTGGTACATGTGTGTGCGACTGAGTTTGCTTCTGAGGCTCGACAAACCGTGATGCAGGACAAGACGTTGGTGGTGCACTGCGAAGTCGGTGTACCTCAGGTGCGTTGCAGGGTTGGGCTAGAGGGCGCGTTTCGAGTGGACTCGACCTGGCTGCCCACCTCAGGTGTGTGTAACCTCGAAGGATGAGACGTTTGTGGTGTACTGCGAGGCAACTTAGTTTCATACTGAATACGCCCTCCATTCATCCTCTTCGCCTTTTCAGGTGCCACCGGTACTGGATTCGAGGGCCCAAGACCGGACAGAAGGAGGTGTTTGTGAATCTACCCGGGTACCCGGACAACCTCAGCCTCAACCCCAGGGGAAGGTTCTGGATCGCACTCAACTCCAGGCGCTCCCCCACAGCAAGTAAGACAATAAGACCCTCGGCACCTGCTACCCACCCCTCAGTCCTTGAGCCAGAGGTCATCATCACTAATCACTGTACCCAATGTGTTCCATCCACGCTTCTCTGTGCCCAAATCTGATCCTTCAACCAACAAACGCTGCAGCACAAAATTCATCTTATTCCTGCAACCCTTTGTTTCCATCCTTGTTCCCCAACTGTCTCAGCTATTGCATCTCAAACCCCGTTTCTCCGGGAGCAGTTTGTGGAGAACAAGATTGGTTACAAGATTGTTTCAGCAACGCAGGAGCAGAGGGCTAGCGGCATTGTGGTGGAGGTGGATGAGAATGGTAAGATTACCAACCTGCTCGAGGATACGAAGGGGAAGGTGGTGAAGGATGTGAGTGAAATAGTGGAGCACGACGGGAAGCTGTGGATGGGGTCAGTTATTGAGAACTACATAGCTACCCTCAAATGGCCGTAGTGATTCTCCATCGACTTGAATAGGAAAAGCTTGGAAGTGTGACACTTGGGAACCCAAGTGTTATGAAATATAACTCAGAGTATAGTGCAGAATACTGTAGGTTGACTACAAATCCTGTCAATACAAATGAGTCCTAGGGCTTATATAGTGCTAGTTGATCAGATTGAAACTCGAGAGTTGGACCTGCCAAGGGCTCGATAGTCCCGAGGGTGACAGGGTCAACTTGGGTTCGGGATGCCTCGTTAATACATTCGGGGCCGATTAGCTCAGCGAGGGTGGTTTGATGTGAGATTTGAGGGCCGAGGCTGCGAACGTGCACTGTTCACGGTCCTCGCTGTGGCCAAACCCGGTAAGGATTCGTGGAATCCTTACACCGAGCAGTACTAATACAATTGCACATATTAGATCGTCATACGTAGTTTTGTATAAAGCTGGTTACTAAAAGAGGCTTAATTCTGTGTAAATTTGATAAATTATTTTTGGAAAAGTCAACATATCACTATTTTTCTGCACCGTTCAAAAGATGAAGATTGGTTGAAATACAACTTGCGCATGCAAACTTTAGTCTCTGTAATGTAGGCATACATCCTCTTGTATGCTACGGTAATTGTGAAAGCTTGCTTGGGTCATCTTGGCAAAGGCAGCGTGCTTCATTTCATATGGGATTGCATACATGGTTCTCGTCCAATAGACTACACCTACAACTAGGGTGGGTGGGTGGGGAAAACGAAACTGGAACTAGAAATGAAGAACGTGGGTGAGGTCGAATGACCTCACGTCCCTCTTTTGTAGGCAAAAGAGGGTGAGTAGCGCTTCGACGCTGTCCTTGCTGCGTTGGCCCTCGTTGCACTTTCACAATACACATTTTCATAAAGCGTTACACGCTTTCAAAAATTACATTTCATAACATCGCTGCAGCGATGCATGCCGTTGTTCCAGCACCCCTGCCAATGTGAATCAAAATGTCCGCAGCGCCTTCAACCAGCTGACTTCAAGGCAGCGCGCGAAACATTTTGCCTCGGTTTCGAGAATGCGGTCCGAAAGAAATGGGCCCAGTCTGGTTCGCCTCCGTTTCCATCCCAAACTGAGATAATGTCCAATGCCCACGAAAAGAAACCGTCAGATTAGCGCCGTGAAATGCGTGTTCCCCGTTGGATCAACCCCCCAGGCCACCCAGCCTCCCTCCTGCTGATCGAGTCCAATGGAATCTGAGCCTCGAATTCATCCCTACTTCTGGCGTCAAGTCACATACAGAAGCTGTGGGATGCTTCAATCAGTGAACGCTTTGCTGGTGGTTTTGCCATTTTGAGAACTGAACTCTTTGCTGTGGAATCTCCGGAGCAGGTCGCAATAGGACTCTCAAGCAGAATGTGGCGTTGCTCTTCTAGTATCGTCCTCCTCTCTCTGAGTCTAATACTTCTCCCGCTCGTTGCTAATGACGTCGTCGCGTCTTCAACGATAGAGCTTCCTAAAGTAGACCCGGCGAAGTTCAAGCCAGCGTCCATTCCGTTGGCTCCGCTAACCCTAAAGTTCGACAGTGAGAACCGCCTCGCTCTCGCGGAACGAAGGTGTGCATGCAGATAGTACTAAAGCAGCTACTCTCGAGGATACTCAACTGTTTATTCTCGTCTATTCTCGTCTATTCTCGTCTATTCTCGTCGATTCTCGTCTAGAAGAGAACGCCCAGCGTGGGACCATTTCAGCAGGAGATTAGATTTGTCTCCAGGTCTCCTCTCCACACCCGCGCCGCCATTTTTCAGTCTCTTAGCGCTGTAACCGTCCGAGCTTTCCGTTGTTTTGGCTCTCAGGCGTTCAGGACAAGCTAATGGACCTGAACGCATAGCATGAGGTAACCCTAGGTTGAACTCAAGACTTCAATGTGCTCTTTCCTCCAATATCTCAGGTGTTCAGGGCAAGCTAATGGACCAGAGAGCTTAGCATGGATAAACCCCTGCTCATAATAAATAAGACTTCTGTGTGCTCGTTCCTGCGATATCTCAGGTACTCAGGGCAAGCTAATGGGCCGGAGAGTCTGGCGTGGGATAGAACAGGCCGCGGACCGTACGCGTCGGTCAGCGACGGCAGGATTGTGAGGCGGTCCCAGGACAACATGCGATGGGAAACATTCGCGTGGGCTTCCCCCAAGTGGTAAGCGCAGCAGAGACTTTGTAGGGCTTCCCCCAAGTGGTAAGCGCAGCAGAGCCTTTGTAGGGCTTCCCGCAAGTGGTAAGCGCAGCAGAGACTTTGTAGGGCTTCCCCCAAGTGGTAAGCGCAGCAGAGACTTTGTAGGGCTTCCCCCAAGTGGTAAGCGCAGCAGAGAATTTGTAGGGCTTCCCCCCCGTGGTATGGTAAGCATCAGTGACTGCCTCACGTACGCGTCGCTCAGCGACGGCAGGGTGGTGAGGCGGTCCCAGGACAGCATGCGATGGGAGACTTTCGCGTGGGCTTCCCCCAAGTGGTACGCATAACAGAGGTTTTCGCGTGGGCTTCCCCCAACTGGTAGCGTAAATGGCAGTGGCCTGTGTACGGCCGAGTGGTGAGGCGGTCCCAGGACAACATGCGATGGCAGACATTTGCATAGGCTTCCCCCAAGTGGTAAGCGCAGCAAAGACATTGTTGGGAGACATTCGCATGGGCTTTTTGAGTCGACAAAAAAAAATCATTCGCATGGGCTTCCTCCAGGTGGTAAGCAACCTGTTATCCACAGATGTGTTTTTCGGCCTGTTTAAGGGTGGGGCCTGGCGGCAGGAGGAGCGAGAGCCTGGTGGATACGGTGTAGGGGAGGCACATGCTGATGACCAAATCATTTGGATAATGTCCATTCTACCCCCTTCCACCCCCTCCAACCTGTTTTGACCTTCCCTCATTACCTATCCGTTAGGTCCCAGGAGCGGTGCCAATCCAACGGCACCAACACCACCATGGAGCCATTCTGCGGCCTACCCGTGGGCCTCGGGTTCCACCCCAGCGCGGGGGATCTGTACCTCCTGCTCAGTCTCACCTCCTGCTCAGTCCCACCTCCCTCACACACCCCTGTCTGGTCCAAGGAGCGGTGCCAATCCAACGGCACCAGCACCAACACCACCATGGAAACCGTCTGCGGCCGTCGCTTGGGCATGCTGTTCCACCCCACCACGGGCGACCTTCAACCCCCTTCCAGCCTTTTTCTGCCTTCTCACCTCTCTAACACACCCCCCTCAGGTCCAAGGAGCGGTGTCAATCCAACGGCACCAACACCACCATGGAAGCTGTCTGCGGCCGCCCCTTGGGCCTCCGGTTTCACCCCACCACGGGCGACCTGTACTTCGCCGACGCGTACTTCGGGCTGCACAGGGTGGGGCCCGGCGGGGGAAGGGCGGAGAAGCTGGCGGATACGGTGGAGGGGAAGCGAATGCTGATGACGAATGACCTGGATATTGACGCGGATGGGAAGAGCGGGGCGGTGTACTTCACTGACGGCAGCACACGCTGGCAACGCAAGTGAGTGGCTTTTCATTAACTTGGGATACTGTAGAGGGGAGGCGTGCTTTAAGCTGCTCAGAGTGGGCCCTGGCGGGGGGCGGCGCGGAGAAGCTGGTGGATACGGTGGAGGGGAAGCGCACGCTGATGACGAACGACCTGGATATTGACGCGGATGGGAAGAGTGCGGCGGCTTACTTCACCGATGGCAACACCCACTGGCAATGCAAGTGAGCGGCTTTTGTTTTGCTACTCTTGAACGCGGTTGAGAGCAGCAGGATGGCTGAGAGCAGCAGGATGGCTGAGAGCAGCAGGATGGCTGAGAGCAGCACGATGGCTGAGAGCAGCAGGATGGCTGAGAGCGGCAGGATGGCCGGTTCATTCTGTGCCACATCGCAACAGTCGCAGTGCAGCTCCTAGTGACCCTCCTACCCCATCCCTCCTCTTTGTAACCCTCCCCCTCCCCAGGGACTTCTTTCTGGCGACACTCGAGGGCCAGCCAGATGGCCGGTTCATGCGGTACGACATTGCAACAGGTGCAGTGAAAGTGCTCGTGAAGGGAGTGGCATTAGCGCAACCCTACTCTGTAACCTCCACCCTGTAACCCTACCCTCGCCAGGGACTTTTTCCTTGCCACCTTAGAAGGCCAGCCAGATGGCCGGTTCATGCGGTACGACATTGCAACAGGCGCAGTGAAGGTGCTCGTGAAGGGGGTGGCGTTCGCCAATGGCGTTGCGCTTTCTCGCGATCGCACGTTCGTGGTCTTTTGTGAAACGAGCTACATGCGGTAAGCAAGCGAACCTTGGAAGTGAAGGTGCTGGTGAATGGCGTGGGTGGTGTTGCACTCTCTCGCGATCGCACATTTCTGGTCTTTTGTGGAACGAGCTACATGTGGTAAGTGGTTGCAGCCTGGGGTCTGTTGAGTCGTCTCAGAAGTGCACGTTCGTGGTCTTTCGTGAAACGAGCAACAGGAGGTAATCGGCTGGAGTCTGCTAACTTAGAGTCTATTTTTGAGGCGCCTCAAAAATAATCGGCTGGAGTCTGCTAACTTTATCTCCCTGGCTGATGCGCTGATGACTGGTGGTGTCTGGTACTTGATACTTCACGGCTTGTTCTGCTCTGCTTCTTTAACACCCCTGCTTGCTCTCTATGCTTGCGTCAAGTCAGCATTGGAGGCTATACTGCTTGCTTCGCGTTCCAAGGCTAAGCCTTCCTTCCATTCAAATTCGTTGCAGGTGTCACCGGCATGGTAAGAGCCTAGGTTGGAGGTGGGCACCTCGAACCTAGGTGCCTCGAACCTAGGTGCCTCAAAACTGCTGCACATTCCAAGGCCGGGCATTCTGTTCCATTCAAATTGTTTCGAGGCGCCTCAAAACTGCTGCGCGTTCCCAAGGCTGAGCCCACCTTCCATTCAAACCCATTGCAGGTGTCACCGACATTTCATCCGAGGGCCAAAAATGGGCAAGACGGAAATATTTGTGAACCTGCCCGGGTACCCGGACAACCTGAGCCTCAACCCCAGGGGAAGGTTCTGGATCGCCATCAACTCCAGGCGCACTCCCATGTCTGGTATGCACTCCCATGTCTGGTATGCACTCCCATGTCTGGTATGCACTCCCATGTCTGGTATGCACTCCCATGTCTGGTATGCACTCCCATGTCTGGTATGCACTCCCATGTCTGGTATGCACTCCCATGTCTGGTATGCACTCCCATGTCTGGTACGTCTTTTTACACGCCTATTCGTCGTCACTCATGGTCTTGGGGCATGAGACGATTTTTGAGGCGCCTAAAAAATCGTCCCATGTCTGGTACGTCTTTTTACACGCCTATTTCGTCCAGAAACCCCGTTGTCAAGTCAAGGTTCCCAGTTCTCGCATCTGACAATCCTCCTGCTGTCCTGCCAGCTGCGAAGGCCCTGGCTCTAAGACGGGGTGACTCTCAGGTCGATGCTAACGTGCTGTGATCTCATCCCACAATCCCCTGTTGCCCTGCCTGCTGCAGAGGTCCTGGCTCGAGGCCCCTATCCACAGTGCAGGCTTCTGAATGACCCAGTGGAGCGGCAGGCAGCCTACGTGGCGGCAGCTGGGCTGCCGCACGAGATTATCGTGGAGGTGGCTCTTGAGTCGGACTGATAACTGTTGATCTCTCTTCTCATGCTGCGAGTTCCTTGTTGCCCCGTGTTGTGTTCCTATGTCTCTTGCTGTTCTGCCCGCTGCAGAGGTCCTGGCTCGGAGCCCCTATGCACGGTACAGGCTCTTGAACGACCCTGTAGGGCTGCAGGCAGCCTACGTGGCGGCAGTGGGGGGCTGTCCCACGGGAGTACTGTGGAAGGGGTGACTCTTGGAACAGCTCATAAGCCCTGCTCTCTCCTCGTCCCCCCCTCCCTTATTCCCTTTTTCTCCCCCCTCCTAGAGTGAGGTGAATCTCGGTTCGACTCAAACGTGCTGTTCTCTCGTCCCTTGCTGTCATGTGCCTTGTTCTCCTGCCCGATCCAGAGGTCCTAGCTCGGAGCCCCTATGCTCGGTACAGGCTCCTGAACGACCCGGTGGGGCTGCAGGCAGCCTACGTGGCGGCAGTGGGGCTGTCGCACGGGATTATAGTGGAGGTTGACAATAACGGGGTGATTACAGATGTGCTGGAGGACAAGCTGGGAAGGAGCGTGGCAGCTGTGAGCGAAGTGGTGGAGAGGAAAGGGAGGCTGTGGATCGGGTCGGTGATGGTTGATGATGTTGCCGTGCTCAAGTACTCGCCTCCAGCCAACAATGCTTCCTCGAAGCCAACAAATGGTTGAGCACCGAGGGCGGCTCATTGAGTGGACTTGCGGCATGCCTGCAGGCAGCCTACGTGGCGGCAGTGGGGCTATCCCACGGGAGACTACAGATAATAAGGGGGGGTACAGTGGAGGTTGACAGTAGCGGGGTGATTACAGATGTGCTGGAGGACAAGCTGGGGAGGAGCGGGGAAAGGGAGGAGAGGGGACAGGCTGAGAGCGAGGTGATGGAGAGGAAAGGGAGGCTGTGGATCGGATCGGTTATGGTTGATGATGTTGCCGTGCTCAAGTACTCGCCACCGGTCAGTGCTTCCAAGGATGCTCCAAGGATGCTCCCAAGGATGCTCCCAAGGATGCTCCCAAGGATGCTCCCAAGGATGCTCCCAAGGATGCTTCCAAGGATGCTTCCAAGGAGGCTTCCAAGCCATCGATTGACTGACCAAGGGAAAGGAGGTTTCACTGGGTGGGCCTGCAGGCAGCAGGGGGGCTGTCGAACGTGGCGTGGCAGCTGTGAGAGGTGGTGGAGAGGAGAGGAGGGGGGGAGGAGGCTATGGATTGGTTAGCATGGTTGATGATGTTGCAGTGCTGTAGTGCTCGCATCAGGGTTAGTGCTACCAAAGATGCTTCCAAGTCAACGACTGGCTGACTGAGCGCTTCCTATTCAACAAGTGGCATGAGTGAGACTCAGCTTCCTATGTTGCAAGTATGACCAGCAAGGGCCTCGATTTAAGTTCTCGCTGATCCGCCAATGAAGTTGTAAATGATAGAATTGTTAAATTTAGACTTGGGTAACAGCATGCCGTATAGCAGATACAACACAAAAGCACACGTATAGTACAACACGAGTCAGCGCTTTACGGCATCACCTGCCTGGCGCGGCCATACGCGGTATAAGCGCAGTCCACAGCGAGCACATCGCTCGCCTCATACGACCGGGGGGTGCCATCAAGGAAACCCTTGCCCTCCGCGCCATCAGCCGAAATCGGACGGTGCAGGCTTGCGATCAACTTCTGGAAGTCCTCCGCGCGCTGGGTGTGATCCTCGCGGTAAGTCTGCCCCAGCACGCCGTGAATCTCGTCCGTGTGCGTCAGCTCGGCAATCCCGACGTTGATGTGCGCCTCAGCGTCGGTCGGGGTTTGGAGCTTCGGGTGAGCCACGCGCAGGCGGAGGTCGAGCGAAATCAGACCGTCGATCGACAGCAGGTAGTAATCCACATCGAACGGTCCTTCCTTCTCGAGCCCGCGGAACTGGATCGTCAAACCGCCCTCGCTGGTAACGCTGTCGCCAACCTGCATGCGAGGGATCTCCTCGCCGTCGATCTCGATGCTCTTCACGAATCCATCGCCGCGCTCCTGCTGCTTGCCGCTGCGCGCCGCAACGCGAATCTTGTGGTCCACGCCCTTCGCGGTCCAGACAATGCCGAGCTCCTTAATCCAGGTGTGCACGGCCTTGCCGTCGACCACGAGCGCGGCGTTATCGGTGCGCTCATCATAATACCCCCTCAGCAGCATGTTCACGTGGAGGTCGCGGTCGGTGAGCAGGCAGAAGGCCTTGTCGGGGCGGCCGTTGAAGTCGAAGTGAGTGCCGTGCGCGCCAACCAGATGCGGGTCGTTGAGGATCTTCGCGCTCGGGTTGCACTCCCCGCCGATGCGCACCTGAAGCGGCACGGGCTTGGTCTCGGTTGAGTACTGCGCGGTCATTTCTCCGCAGGTGAAGTCAATCTGGTCGTGGATAAGGTAGCACGCGCCCTTGCCCTTCTTGCCATCGATGGTAATGTCGGGGATGTACTGCCAGTAGGTGCAGAGCGGCGTCGCAGCGCAAGTGTTGCAGCACGAGGAGGGGTTCGCCTTGAGCAGGGTCAGCGGGTTGCCCGGCACGTACAGCTCGTAACCGAGCTTGTTCTTCTGGAGGTACGCGGTCTTCCACTTGGCGGCGATTCCACCCTTGGAGCAATTCTTGGGAGTGCACGCGCCCGCGAGCTCCTTGTTCAAACCCGGGGGGCATTTCTGCGCGTTCCACCCGGCCTTCTTCACATCAGCCATGAAGAAAGTATCCTGCGCGGTATCGACGTAGGTGACACCAGCGGCGTCGCCAGAAGCAGCCGCCTTCGCGATGGCGGCCGGGATCTCGGTCATGAGGCCGTCGTCCTTTTTGCTGCTCTGGTCGGGCTTCTCGTTCGCGGAGGAGCTCGTGATGGGGCTGCCGGCATGCGCCGCGAGGACGAGAAGCGCGAGGGAGAGCGCGAGAAGCGCAGCTCGAGCCATTGCGACGAGTTGCGGACGTTCAGGGAAACTAAGCTACCTCTGTCCCGTGGACTGCGTAATTGGTGGATGAAGTGGTAGAACAAATAATTGGCGCTTCTGATTCACAATGATTGTTTGCAAGAGAGGTTAGTCTCTTATGTGCACCTGACTCGCAGTTGATGTGGTTTCCTGCCTGCTGCTGCTGCTGGCATTGCTGCCTGGCTGCCTGTGCAATCAGTTGACAGTGTGGGTGTCAGAACAGCATGACTGCGAGCCGCAGGTGCGAATGGCAAAATGGACCTGGGATTTTTTGTCACCTGAGAGGCTCAGAGGAGGCGCAGATACATTTGGCATGTGGTTTGCATACCCCACGTGGATCTGATAGGGTAGCTGCGCTACAAAACCTTTTCAGTCCCAAGCAAAAAGGTGGAAGTTACACGTCAAGGATGTGAACCGCGCTACAAGGATGTGTACAGTACAAGGATGTATATCAGAACCACCTAGATTGTGCATTTCAAGGATTTCAACCTCCCAAATCTGCCCACCTACACCTACAGCACATGAACTGTTCTGTATCCTGAACAGCTGCCGACATGTTCCAAACTGCGTCTGTACACCAGCCTGCGCTCCGGCCACGGCAAATGGCGTCCGCACTGAAAGCCATCCTCACGAATTATGCATTGGAGTGGGTTTACTGGATGTTGACAAAACACGTACGGGTGTTTATAAAGTTAGAGAAAGACTCTGCTAATACTAAATCACAGATGTACTTGCTTGTATGCAATGCAACCTCGGCTGAAGTGTACGTGTCACAGCGTGTTTTCCGTTGACACCTGTCGCGGCGAAAGTTCCAACACTGATCCTGACGTGGTCCTGATCAGACACTCTCATACGTGTTTGGCCCACCCTGCTGCATCCGTCAGCGATAGCGACCATCAGGCTACGAAGTGGATGAGATTCCAAGGCTTCAGGAGAGGCGAATCCGGTAACCAGCAGATTCACGGGAAGTTACCAGCATCGTAGACCAAGCATTTCTGATCGCAGACCCAACCTCCGCATCTGATCGGAAAGTTACCATTTCGTCAGCCAGGGACTTTCTCCTGATCAGAAAGCAATCAAGCTGCCTTGGGATTGGAACTTGGGTTTCTCCAGCTTCTTCTCCTGATACATTTCCTTCTGTTCTCAATTGTCGATTGTTGTGTTATCTAGATTCCACAATCCTGATCCACTCCCCTCTGCTCTGGTCAGTTGTCTGCTGAAGCTCACTTAGCTTGTGAAATCCACCAGGCAGACATGGCCACTTGCCTTGGTTCAGGGGTAAGCACCGCCGTCCAGAGCTGCTCTCTGGCAGCAGAGACCTCAGCGAGTCTGAGGCAATCTGACCTTCTGGGTTGCACACTTCGTCAGAAGGATGTGGTTTCCGTGAAGAGGCAAGGTAGGCAGATGTGGAAGGCTAGCAATTTGTAGAACAGCATATTGAGGCGTATGCTGTTCTGTACCCGCTGATGATCGTAATTTTGTAGGGGTAGAAAGACTCTGTGCTCTGCTTAGACTTTTCCTACTAATTGCATCTAGGTTAACCTTCTGACAGCTAGTGCGACTTCGTCAGAAAAGGTTTTCTTCGGCTATCTCGATTTTGCAACAATTGCGTGAAATCCATCTTCTCCTGATACCTGACTTCAAAACCTGTTTCTAATAAATTTGATTTCGCATGAGGGTCATTCAGTCGTCTTAAACTGCTTCGTCTCCTTCCCCTTCCTGTTTTTCCCATCGAAATTTCTGATGCAGCCAGAAGAGCCACCACCGCAGTTCGTGCCGGCGCGACCGTCGCAGCGCCGACGCGGGAGACCGATCCGAAGAAGCGCGTCGTGATCACCGGGATGGGCCTCTGCTCCGTGTTCGGCAACGACGTGAACGGCTACTACGACAAGCTGCTGGAAGGCGTTAGCGGGGTGGACTATATCGACCGCTTCGACGCCACGAAATTCCCAACCACGTTCGCGGCGCAGATCCGAAACTTCTCCAACGAGGGCCTGATCGACGGGAAGAACGACCGGAGGCTGGATGACTGCCTGCGGTACGCGATCGTTGGCGGGAAGAAGGCGCTCATCGACGCCGGTCTCGGAGGGGACGACCTGAACAAGGTATGCATATGGTTCTGAACGATGTGCTAGACAAGGTATAGTATGGATGATTGCCTGCGGTACGCGATTGCCGGCGGGAAGAAGGCGCTGACGACGCCGGTCTCGGAGGGGATGACCTGAACAAGGTATGAATATTGTTTTGGGCAATGGCTTATACTAGGCACGGTATGAAAGATCGCCTCCGGTACGCGACTGTCGGCGGGAAGAAGGCGCTGGTGGACGCTGGACTCGGAGCGGATGGCCTGAACAAGGTATGACAAGAAGAGGACATCCTGGGAACATGATAGGGACAAGGTATAATATGCACTAGGAATGACAAGTTATGATAAGGCATGACGAGGTATGTCAAGGCTTTGATAAGTTGGGTCGACCATGGGCGGGCTGACGGGGTACTCGGACGGGCTTTGAATCGATTTAAGAATCAGTTCACATTAACTTTGAATCCTGTTCCCAAATTCCCCATCCCTCGCCTCTTTCACCCCTGCAGGTTGACGAGCACAAGGTGGGGTTGATCATCGGGTCGGGCTTTGGCGGGCTGACGGTGTACTCGGACGGGTTTTGCGCCCCTGCCAACTGCTTCCCTATCTATGCTCCCCATGTTTACTCTTCCACTCGCAGGTTGACAAGCAGAAGGTGGGGGTGATCATCGGGTCGGGCATGGGCGGGCTGACGGTGTACTCGGACGGCGTGAAGGCGCTGCTGGAGAAGGGGTACAAGCGCATCACGCCCTTCTTCATCCCCTACGCCATCACCAACATGGGCTCCGCGCTGCTCGCCATCGAGCTTGGCCTCATGGGCCCCAACTACTCCATCTCCACCGCCTGCGCCACCGCCAACTACTGCTTCTATGCCGCCGCCAACCACATCCGCAGGTGATTGGGTGACCACTTTCGCAGGTAATAGGGTAACCACGTCTGCAGGTATTTCAGTAACTTTTGACTTAGCTCGAAACCCTCTTCGCCATCGAGCTGGGCCTCATGGGGCCCAACTACTCCATCTCCACCGCCTGCGCCACTGCCAACTACTGCTTCTACGCTGCCGCCAACCACGTCCGTGCACATCAATCTGCTCTTGCGTCACTCTTTCTCTGCCGCTCTCGCCTTCCCCCATCCTCACCCCTTCCCTCTCCTCCCCCCATCTCAACCCGCTCCTCTCTCAGGGGCGAGGCGGACATCATTGTGGCAGGAGGCACTGAGGCAGCCATCATCCCCATTGGCCTGGGCGGCTTCGTGGCGTGCCGCGCGCTCTCCCAGCGCAACGACTCCCCGCAGACGGCGTCGCGGCCGTGGGACAAGCAGCGCGAGGGCTTCGTTATGGGCGAGGGCTCTGGCGTGCTGGTAAGTGCTTTGGCTTCCCTGGTGGATTCTTTGGTAGCACATCTAGCCCCCAGGCAAGCTCTCCCAGCGCAACGACTCCCCGCCGACGGCGTCGCGGCCGTGGGTGGGACAAGCAGCGCGAGGGCCTCGTCATGGCCGAGGCTCGGGCGTGCTGGTAAGTGGTTTGGGGCAGATATATAGGTTCTTCACAGGTCGACTGGTGTGCTGGTAGGCTCTTCCTTCTCTCCCAGCGCAACGACTCCCCCGAAGACTGCATCCCGGCCGTGGGACAAGCACCGTGTGAGGTCTTTGTGATGGGCGAGGGCTCCCGCGTGCTGGTGGTAGGTTCTTCCATAGGCCTCGGCCTGCTGGTAAGTTGTTACAATAAGCCCCCTTCTAGGCTGTCTTGCCTTTTGAGTCGACTCAAAACTCAGTCACTCTCTTGCTGCATGCATCTTTCTGGCTGTAAGACACGGACTGCTGAGTCGTGATGCACCCTTGGTCCAGCTACCCTTAACGGCCCCTCCTTCCCCACCTCCCCTCCCCCCCCCTCCCCCTTCCTCCCCTCCCGTCCCCTTCCCCCCCCTCCCCTCCCCCCCCTTTCCCCCCCCCTCTCCCCCTCCCTCTCCTCAACCGTCTGGTGCTTGCCAGGTGATGGAGAGCCTTGAGAGCGCCCAGAGGCGCGGGGCGCACATCTACGCCGAGTACCTGGGCGGTGCTGTGACGTGCGACGCGCACCACATGACCGACCCCAGGGAGGACGGCCTCGGCGTCTCCACCTGCATCCTCAACGCGCTGGCCGATGGGGGCGTCTCCCCAGAGGAGGTAGGTTCGCTCCCTCGCCTTCCCTCCTGCGCGTGCTTGCCTTTTTTTGGGGGGGGGGCTTTAAGGAGATCCCAGGAGGAAACCAGGCCCCCTTTCCCTCCTGCGCGTGCTTGTCTCCTTGTTGTCACCCTGTGTGCCTCCGATCCGACCTCAGGGAGGCGCCTCAGTAGCAGACTCTCTAACCTCTCCCCGCCCCCCCCCTTTCCCCCCACCTCCCCTCCTCCCCCCTCCCATTTTTTCTCTTTCGGCCAGGTGAACTACATCAACTGCCACGCTACATCAACCATTGTTGGTGACGTGGCAGAGGTGAACGCCATCAAGAAGGTGTTCAAGGACACCAGCGAGATCAAGCTCAACGGGACCAAGGTGAGTTTGGCCCCTGTTAAGGACAGCTTATAACGAGTACGAGAGGGTAGTGAGTGGATAGTGCATGAACGCCATCAAGAAGGTGTTCAAGGATACCAGCGAGATCAAGCTCAACGGCACCAAGGTGAGTTGGCTTATAACGAGGTAATGAATGTCTAGTGAACGCTATCAAGTAGGTTTTCCAGGTTACCAGCGAGATCGAGCTCAACGGTACCAATGTGAGTGGTAGTATGCTTAGTGAATCACCCTGTAGCGAGTGTCAACATATTGTGCATGCACGCCATAAAGGTGTTTTAAGGATAATAGGGAGATCAAGCTCAATGACACCAAAGTGAGTAGGCTTATAGAGTGTGAAATACAAGCAAAGGCAAGCTGACTGGAAGCACACAGGAGGAGAATTATCTTCAGCTGCATGTACCAGAAGCAGTGCTGTGGCAAGAATGCAATGAGCTAACCTGTTCTCACATCGTCCCCCTCCTGTACACGTGGCAGTCCATGATTGGTCATTGTCTGGGCGCTGCTGGAGGGTTGGAGGCCATTGCAGTGATCAAGGCGATTGAGACCGGATGGCTGCACCCCACCATCAACCAATTTGTGAGTCATCGGATCTTGGCCTTATTCCTCAGTAGTTAAATCCTCGTCTTCTTGCTCGATCTTTTCTATGATGCAATCTCCTGCCACCCTTCCCTTTGTTCTGGGCGTCTCTGTCAAAACCTGGAGAAGCCTTTTGAGTCACCTTGGTACAACAGTGTAACACGGCACTTCTGAGTCGAATCAAGAAGCCACCTCGGTACAATGTCGCATGGTACTTTTGAAACGACTCAACGATCTCCCCTCGCCCTTCCCTTGGGTCTATGCGCGTCCACCTCTGCCAGAATCCGGAGTGACTTTTGAGTAAACTCAAAAGTCACCTTGGGTCCATGGGCGTCCACCTCTGCCAGAATCCGGAGGAGTCGGTCACCTTGGACACATAACCAGCATCTCACAAAGCTAGACATGTGCTTTCTTGTTTCTATGGCTTCTCTGTGCCTGTCCTCTGTTCTTTCTGTCAGAACCTGGAGGAGACGGTCACCTTCGACACGGTGCCCAACAAGAAGAAGCGGCATAAAGCCACCTTTGACTTGTCCACCTTCGGCCTTTTTTTATAATACATTCTCCTGCCCCCCGTCCCTTGGCTCCGTGTGTGTGTCTGTCAGAACCTGGAGGAGTCGGTCACCTTCGACACGGTGCCCAACGAGAAGAAGCAGCATAAAGTCAACATTGGTGAGTGCATGTCAACATTGGTGAGTGCAGGTCTCCTCCCCCCCCCTCCCCCCCCTCCCCCCCTTCCTCCTGTCACAGCTTATATCTAAGCTCATTATTAAACTGCTCCTCTCTCTGCCTACCGCTTTCCCCCTTCCCCCTCCCTCAGGTCTCACCTCTCGTCACCTCGGACTAGTTGGATTCAGTCTCACCTTATTACTTTCCTGAGTCATAGCACTCGGCATTGGGTTGACTGTTGAATCCAACTATTGCAGGGGTTGCAGGGTTTGCTTGGAGTGGTGTCATCCAACTAGGCCTTGCATCGTGCTGCTTTGGTGTGTTGTTTTGTCTAATGGTTCTGCTTCTCCCCACCTCTTTTTCTAATCCCCTGCTATTCCTTTCCCGCCCTTCAGGTATCTCCAACTCCTTCGGCTTTGGCGGTCACAATTCTGTGGTCGTTTTTGCCCCTTTTGAGGCATAGGTGCCTTGCTGCACTCTGCAGTAGCATGGTTACTGCTCTTGGTAGATATGTCTGTGATGTGCATGTTTGTGAAGCATGATTTTGAATAGATCCACTTTTTATGGCAGGTACTGTTAACGTAGAAACGAATGATTACTAGAGGTGGAAACCTAGAACAAATACTAGTTGGTTGTACTCACTAGAAGCATACCTCAGTCTAGCCTATAACTTCTACATAGATAATATGTATAAGTTGACACACCCCCTAGGCTAGACAAGGGGTGAAACTAAACAAGAAGCAAACAGCTCAGGGCGGCACTACTAGTCCAACCACTGAGGCAGGGGTCTGGAGACCAGTCAGCAAGAATACAACCAAAACTGAAGCAAGCCAGGGTGGCACTACTAGTCCAGCCACTGGAGGTAAGGCCACAAGGCCAGTCTGACAAGCATATATAATAGAGAGTACACAATCAGGATCCTAACAGGGGAGCAGCTATAGGAACAAGACCAAGCTGTACACAGTGCCGCTGATGATCTTTAGGCGCAAGCGCCTTAGTAAAGATATCAGCTGTGTTGGCACCTGAGGCCAAGTGAACTACGCGGGCCTGGCGGCGCTGCTGTAGCTCGCGCAGGAGGAAGTACCGCAGCTGGATATGCTTCGCTCTGCCCTCAAGCCGAGGCTCCTGACACAGGAGTATCATGGCCCTGTTGTCAGCGTACAGGACCGGGGCAGAGCTAGGCCGCTCACCTAAGTCTGTGAGCAAGAAGGTCAGCCAGCGGAGCTCCTGTGCCGCCATGGCACCAGCGTAGATCTCAGCCTCACAGCTAGACTGAGCCACAGACGACGAGCGAGTGGATCTCCAAGAGATAGCACCCGAACCAAGGCTGAAACAGTAGCCCTGCGACGACCTGAGCGTCTTAGCGTCGTCTGCCCAAGAAGCGTCTGTGTGCCCAGTAAGGACCACTGGCCTGCGTCCTCCTAGCACTAACCCCATGCCTGATGTACTAGCAAGATAACGCAAAACCCTCTTAGCGGCAGACCAGTGCTGAGGTCGGTGTCTGCCTGTAGCCACAAAGCGAGCCAGGATGCTGAGAGGGTATGCGAGATCTGGGCGAGTGCAAGTCATCAGGTACATGAGGCAACCCACCAGCTCTGCGTAGGGGCCACTGGGCTCTACTGGCTCCTCAGGAACGGGAGCAGAGAGCCCATGGTCTACGGGTAGAGGTGTGGGCTGTGCGGAGGAGAACTGAAGACCGAACCTCTGAAGGACCTGACGCACCAAGTGTGACTGGGTCAGAGTGATGGTGCGTGCTGCTCTGTCCCTAGAGATCTGCAGGCCAAGATAGCGACGCAGCTCTCCAAGGTCAGTGCAGGTGTGTCTCTTCAGCATCTCAGCCTTCACAGAGGCCAGTGCGTCCCTGTCAGGAGTAGCGAAGACCAGGTCGTCTACGTAGACAAGGATGTAGAACGGAGTCTGGCCGGAACGCACAAACAGTGAAGGGTCAGCAGAGGACGGAAAGAACTGCAGGTCTGCTAACGTGGCACGTAGCGTGTCGTGCCACTCGCGGGGAGCCTGACGCAGGCCGTAGACCGGGCGCCTGAGAAGCCACTGGGTCCCAGGAGGGAAGGTACCAGTGAAGCCCTGTGGTCGGCGCAGGTAGACCTGCTCGTGTAGGCTGCCCTGAAGAAAGGCAGTAGAGAAGTCGAGAGAGTGAAGCTCGTAGTCACGCTGTGCTGCTACGTGTAGCAGCGCCCGAAGAGTGGTCATCTTCGGGGTCGGGGCGAAGGTCTGGAAGAAGTCAACCCCCTCGCGCTGACTGAAACCTCTGGCCACGTAGCGCGCCTTGAAGACAGGCGGCTCTCCAGGGGGGCGCTTCACCTTGAAGAGCCACCGACCATCGACTACGTTCACCCCAGGCGGGGGAACTGCGTCGACGTAAGTGCCGGTGGATCTCCAAGATGCCATCTCCTGCTCCATGGCAGCTATCCACTGAGAGGCCCAAGGTCCCGAGGTGGCCTCAGCGTAGGTGCGAGGGGTCGGGATGTCGAAGGCGTCTGGGTCACCCTCAGGGACTAACAGCATGGAGCAGAGATGGGGAGCAGCCTCGGAAAGGAAAGCCAGCTCGTACTGCCTGTCCTCTAGGACGTCACTGCCAAGGGCAGGAGCACCCCCGACGGACAGAGGACGGGCAGGGTCAGAGACCAGAGCGGTAGCGTAGTCAAGGCGGCGGGTAGAAGCGAAGTCAGCGACAGCAGCGACAAGCGCGTCAAGGCGCGAGACAGGAACAGCAGGGTCGGTAACAAGAGAGGCAAGGACCCGAGGGACAAGGGGACGAGCAGCACGGAGGTAGTCAGAGAACGGAGGAGGTGCAACAGCAAGGGACGAGGGAGGAGGGGACGGGAGGAGGGGAGGACGAGACGAGTGGGAACGGAGCAACATAGGGTGGGTGGGCAGGACAGGAGAGACGGGACGAGCACGGGAGGGACGGCGAGCCCAAACGTGAGACGGAGGGGTAGGGTCAGGGGACAGCGGAGGAGACACAGGAGGGGAACGAGGAGGAAGACGGGCCGGAGACGAGTCTGGCGGCGGGAACACAGGACCGTAGACAGGGAGGTCAGGAGGCGGTGGGGGAGACACCGGCGCGCGGTCCGGGGAGGGAAGGCCGAGCAGGCGGAGAGCGGAAACCGGCGGCGACGGCTGCTGTGGCGGCGACGACGGCTGGGCCGGAACTCTCGGACCAGCAGAGGCAGAACGACCGTCGGCAGAACACTCAACAGCAGCACCCCCAGAACCAACACCCCAAGAGCGAGAACCCCCTCCAACACCAGCGGCACCCCCAGAAGCCGCAGGACGAACACCCTCCTCCACACCAGCACCCCCAGGGGCCGAGAGCAGCGGCGGCAGTGGCGGCGACAGCGGCGACGGCTGCGGCGGCGACGGCGACGGCGGCGGCAGCGGGGTCGGCGACTGCGACAGTGGGGGCGGAGGCACTGGGGAAGGGGGACGCGGCAAGGACGGACCGGGGGTACCACCAGAGTCAGCAGACTCCTCAACGGGGACAACCGACGGGAGGGGAGTGACGTGGGAGACACCAGACGGGGCAGGACGAGGCGGGAGAGGGGCAGGGGCTACCGGGGGAGAGGGAGCAAGGAAAAGGGGGGGGGCAACTGGGAGACAACGGGGAGGGAAGCGGCGGTAGAAGGAGACGGACTCGTCAAAGGTGACGTCACGAGAGTGGAGGAAGCGGTGAGACGGCGGGTGGTAGAAAAGCCAGTCAGACGAGTCCAGGGGGAAACCGAGGAAGACACAGGGGACAGTGCGGGCAGTGAGCTTGTCCGTGCCAGAGGCACGAACGTGAGCAAGGCAGCCCCAGACGTGGAACGCAGACGCGTCACCGGGGGACCCGGTCCAAAGGAGGGTCGGCGAAACCTGCGGCCGCTGGGAGCGTGGCCACAGGTTAAGCTGGTGAGCCGCGTAGCGAACAGCGAACGGCCACAGAAAATGGGGGGCATCGGCATGGATCATGGAGGTACGGGCGACCTCCATGACCAAACCGATGCGGCGCTCAGCAACCCCATTCTGCTGTGGCGAGTCCGGCAACGTGTACGACTGGGTGATGCCCTCCGCACGACAGAACTGTCCAAGCCGACCAGAGGCGAACTCGCCGCCACGGTCGGAGTGGAGACACAACACGGGGAGACCGCGGTGGAGACGCGCAGCTACAACCCACGGGAGAAGAACGTCGGGCACGTCGGCCTTCCGCTCCAGGGGAAACACCGTGGTGTAGCGCGTGTAGTCGTCAACGAGCACAAGGAAGTAGCGCTCACCGCGCGGTCCGGGGACGGGGGCAGGGCCCCAAACGTCCAAGTGCAGGGTCTGAAGGGGGGCAGTAGCAGGACGCAGCGAGGAGGAGTGAGGAGCACGGCGGAGCCGACCCTCGACGCAAGGCGTGCACGGTGGCGCAGTCGAGGGAGGAAGGGCAGGGAGCGACGCGGGGAGACCTAAGACAAGACCGTGCTGGGACATGTGACGCAGACGCGGGAGAGCAGGGTGACCTAAGCGGTGGTGCCAGAGAAGGGAGGGGTGAGTGAGGGACCGACACGAGCAAGCTGCAGCGACCTGGGAGGACGCACCAACCGGGGGGGAAGCGGTGTGTAGGGTAAACAGACCGGACACCGGGTCCCGGGGGAACGTCGCAAGGGGGGAACCTGAGACAGCCTCAGAACAGACAGCGAACCGCTCGTGCCCGGGGAACGTGGTGGTGACGCCGAGGTCCTGGAGACAGCCGACACCAACCAGGTTCCTGGAGAACGAGGGAACGTGGAGGCCAGTAAGGGAGCCCGAGGGAACTGCCGGACAGGGAAGGGACGTAGAACTGCGCGCGACGACCGGACCCGCAGAGGGGTCAGCGAGAGAGACAACAGCAGGTGCAGCAAGCGGCGTGAGCGTGGAACGGTCGCGGAAGAAGCAGGCAGAAGCACCAGAGTCGAGAGTGAAGGACAGCGACGCAGTGGCGGAGGCCGCGGACGGAGCCGGTGCAGCGACTAGACTAGGCAACCTAGGCAGTCCTACGCCTGTCGCAGCAGGGGAAGCTAAGCTACACAAGGGTGAAACATCTAAACTAGAGTACACATGGTAGTAAGATCCATCAACACTAGAAGCGTCAGCATACAAAGCATGCAAAGCAGCACCTATCTGATCCATGTCTAACTCAAAGATCGGCACGCCCTGGCGGAGCAGGCTGTGCCAGTCAGGGAGGTCCGGGGCCGGGCCAAAGCGACGACGAAAAAGATCGTCGAGGCGGCGGAAACAGTGGGCGGTTGGGTGCGGGCGGCGGCACAGAGTGCCGCGGAGAGGCCCGGTCTGAAGCTGGTACTGGCAGGTCACAGCACTGGAGCCGCTGGTAGACGCCAAGCTGCGCGGGCCGCCACCACGGCCACCGCCTCCGGAGGTGCCGGGCCAACCAGGCGGGAGACGAGCCCACGGCTGCGGCGGGTGCTGCTGGGACGGCGGCTGCGGCTGGGGCTGGTCCTGCTGCTGCTGGGACTGCTGCTCCTGCCCACCGGTGGTAGTCCCCTCAGGCGGACTACCGTCACCACCACCACGACCACTACCACCTGCGTCACCACCCCTACCTCCCTGGCGGCCACGGCCACCGCGACGCGAGCGCTGCTGCGGGTGGACAGCAGCAGCCGTCTCGGTAAGAGGGGTCGCCGTGGCGACCGCAGCCGAAACGTCAGTGAACGTGCACGGGGATGGGGCACAACCGTGAAAGATAGAGACTGCCGGCGCACCGCTCGACTGAGCGATAGTGCGCTGGCGAGTCTCGATCTCAGTGAGGGTGTCGACAAAGGCGGTCAGGGTGAGGTCACCCGGGTGCTGGCTAAGAAAGTGGTCGCGAGCACTAGCGAGGCGGTCTGGCAGGCGCATAGCGATAAAATAGAGCGTCATGCAGAAAGGAGGGGGGAGCGCAGTGAGCTGGGCAGCAGTGCTGGCAGTGCGATAGCGAGTCTCTAGGGCACGCAAATGAGTGGCAAAATCTGCGACAGTAGGGAAGGCAGCCAGGTCTGGGAACAGCATCGGAAAGAGCAAGCGGCCAGCAGAAGCGGAGGCAGGGGTGGAATAGCGAGCAATAACGGCGTCTAAATAAGCTTTGGCCGTTTCAACAGTAGCAAAACGCGAGCGCTCAGACACAGGGAGGGCGTGACTAATAGCAACCTGAGCTACTGCATCGCGTGAGTCCCAGACCGCACAGGCTAGCGCAGCAGTAGAGAAAGCCTCACGGTCATCAGAGGAGGGGTCAGCAGGGAGGGGAGTAGGTGCAGGGGGACGGGGGAGCAAGCCATCAGCATGGACAACCAGAGAGTGGCCATCCTGGCGCTGACCTGTAAGCTGGCGGCGAAGATCGGAGAGCCAGGCGGCGAAGTCAACCGCGTGGCCCTCAGCGTCCAGGCGGAGCACAAAGTCAGCCATCGTGCAGGGTCAGCGGCACAGCTCCTCAGCGACACAGCGGCACAGCAGCACAGCTCCTCAGCGGCACAGGAGCACAGCGGCGCGGGGACACGGCGGCAGCACTCTCCAGTAGGGCAGCAGCTAGGCGTCCCAGCGCAGGCAAGCAGAAGACACAGGGCCCTAGAGGACACGGCAGGCCGAGCAGGGGAGGCGGGCAGGTGCTCTAGGGCCGGGCTGGTGCTGGGAGGGGCCAGGCTGGTGCTGCTGGGGCCGGTCGGGCACGAGGAGGGGCCGGGCAGCGCTGAGGAGAGGCCGGGCGGCGCTAGGAAGGGGCCGGGCGGCACTAGGAGGAGGCCGGGCGGCACTAGGAGGAGGCCGGGCGGCACTAGGAGGAGGCCGAGCGGCACTAGGAGGAGGCCAGGCGGGCGAGCGCTAACAGCAGGCGCGACAGGGGCCAGCGGGCGCGACGGGGCCTAAGGGGCGCGACGGGGCCCAGCGGGCACGACGGGGCCCAGGGGGGGCGCGACGGGGCCGAGGAGGCGCGACGGGGACCAGCGGGCACGACGGGGCCCAGGGGGGCCGCGACGGGGCCTAACGGGCGCGACGGGGCCCAGGGGGGGCGCGACGGGGCCTAGCAGGCGCGACGGGGCCTAGGAAGCGCGAAGGGGCCCAGCGGGCGCGACGGGGCCTAGGAGGGGCGCGACGGGGCCGAACGGGCGCGACGGGGCCCAGAGGGGGGGGACGCGACGGGGCTTAGGAGGCGCGACGATGCCTAGGAGGCACGACGGGGCTCAGCGGGCTCGACGGGGCCCATGGGGGGCGCGACGGGGCCTAGGAGGCGCAACGGGGCCCAGCGGGGGCGCGTTAGGGCCTAGGGGTCGCGACGGGACCCAGTGGGCGCGACGGGGCCCAGGGGGAGCGCGACGGGGCCTAGGAGGCGCGACGGGGCCCAGCGGGCACGACGGGGCCCAGGGGGGGCGCGACGGGGCCTAACGAGCGCGTTGGGGCCCAGGGGGGGCGCGACGGGGCCTAGGGGGCGCGACGGGGCCTAGGAGGCGCGACGGGCGGAAGCGGTAGGCGGGGGGATCCTAACCTAAGCGTGATACCATGTTAACGTAGAAACGAATGATTACTAGAGGTGGAAACCTAGAACAAATACTAGTTGGTTGTACTCACTAGAAGCATACCTCAGTCTAGCCTATAACTTCTACATAGATAATATGTATAAGTTGACAGGTACTGCTGCTTACAATAGGAAGGTATAGATGCAAGCAGCTTCAATGCGCAAACTTTTGTGGCAAGCATTCCTGTTAGGATCAGTGCAAGCCAATGGCAAACTAACCTACCTGTTACATGCTCACACTGTAACCTGGCAAGCAGCCACTGGCTAAACCATGGCACAGCTTATTGAATTTGTTGGGCTGAGAAATGCCCTTAGGATCTTTCCAGAGACTAAGTCCCAGTTGTAAAAGACTTGAGTTGTGCAGCGGAAGTTGAGGTAGTTGAACCCTTGTACTAGTATATGAGAACAAGTGATTGATTAAAGTGAACAAGCATACAGCAATATATAGAAAGTAAAAACAAGCAGTTGTAGAATACAGTTGAATGGCGGTTATCGAGTCGCGCAGCGACTCGATTGTCGCTTCGGTTACCATTCTTGCAGTTGTAACGGTCAGTCGCAACCTCCGGTTGCAACCCTTCGAGTCCTTTCGTGTTCTTTGTCCACCCCCTCGTGTAACCTCCGTTGACTCGCGTACTCGTTACGATCTTCCTCGAGTGTGGTGTTATACTTCAGAAACGCTGAAGTCATTGAGATATTTCCAACACTCCCCTTCGTTTCTGGAGTGCTGATGTGTTCAGATCCGGTGAAGTTTGTCTGCCCGGTCAGCAGCATGCAGTGATCGAACTTTGCCTTCGCCAGTTTCTTCGTCAGGTAGTCTGCGGCCATTTCTGTCGTAGGGCAGTAACTGAGTTGAAGTCTCCCCTTCGCGATTTCATATTTGACGAAAAAGTACCGCAGGGCAATGTGCTTGGTTCGGTTGCCGAAGCCGTCCTTGTTCGGAAATTTGATCGCAGATTGGTTGTCGCAGAGGAGTGAGAAGACGGGCAGGGTCGCAATCTTCGCTTCCTCGAGCAACTCTCGCAGGTAGAGTCCTTGGTCGCAGTACAGAGGGCGATATATTCTGCTTCAGCCGAAGATAGTGCGATTAGTTCCTGTTTGCTCGACTGCCAAGAGATAGTCCCGATAGGAACCGTCGGTAGATGTAGCCCGTTCTCGATCGTCGATTTTCCCTGTCCCCCGCGTGGTCGGCGTCGACGTATCCGAGTAGTTGTACGGATGGTGTTGTTACTTTGCTGTAGGTAAGTCCGGTCGTCGGCGTAGAGACGAAGTAGAGTAGTGCCCGGTTTAGTTCTTCGAGATCTTCTTGTTCCGGCTGCTTCAGATGCGTCGCCAGCTGGCTTGCGCTGTAGGATAGGTCAGGTCGGCAGGTTACTGCTGCGAATAGTAGGCAGCGGAGCTTCTGCTGATACTCCCGGATTTGCTTCGCGGGGAGTTTTTCGGAGGTGTCGTTGTTGTTCCCGTAGCGGTAGGGAGTCGCGACTGTAGTTGGTGTTAGTCCGAACTTCTTTGCGATAACGCCTGCGTACTTTCCAGCGTATAGGTAGAACGCCGAGTTGTCTTCGACGACATTCAGACCCAGGTACTGGGTCACTGTGTCGGACACCGTGAGTGTCAAGTCCCCTTTCAGCTCCCCTTCAAACCAGGTGGCGATGTCGGTAGTGGAACCGATGTAGAGCAGGTCGTCGACGTAAACGATGAGTAGGATATACTCTCTTCCCTTCTGCAGTCGGTACATGCCTTGGTCGTGCGGCAGCTGTAGGAATCCGATTCTGACGAGGCGACCGTGAAGATGCTGCTGCCAGAGCCGCGAGGCTTGCTTGATCCCGTAAAGGGATTTTATCAGCTGGCATACTTTTGTGGGGTCGTCGATGAATCCGTGGGGCTGCTCGACGAAGATTTCGGCGTCCACAGGTGCGTACAGGAAGGCATTTGCGACGTCGATTTGGCGCAGTGGTAGTTTCTTTGTGGCCGCGACGGCGAGTAGGATGCGCAAGGAGGTGTGACGAGAGACTGGGGCGAATGTTTCTGTGTAGTCGGTTCCGTATCGTTGATCAAATCCTCGTACGACCCAGCGAGCCTTGAATTGTTCGATGGAGCCGTCCGCATTGGTCTTGATGCGGTACACCCATTTTCCCGAGAGAACGTTCTTCCCGTTGACGTTCGTTGCAGGTACCAGCTTCCATGTGTTTCGGTCTTGCAGAGCTTTCAGTTCCTTTTCCATTGCCTCCTTCCATTTCGCCTTATGTTCCCCCCCCCAGAGTTTGCGACAGAGTCGTTGGCTCGCGCGGAGATGGCGGCGGCGGGTGCTGGATGGAGACCCATAAGCCGAGGATTTGCAGTCCCGTGGGTGTGTGTCGAGGGGAATTTTCATTCCCGGAATAGGCTGCTTCGTCACCATCTTCTGGATCAGGTAAGAAGTTGGGGCCGATGCGTTCTGAGATATTCGTGTCGACCGGGTGAGGTGTAGCGTAACCTTGGTCAGCGAAGTGGTAGAGGGTGTCGAGGTTGTTGCTATCGAGAGGATTGTCTTCGTCGAGTGGAACAGGTACGGAACAGAAAGGGAGTGGTCCGGCAGCTTCCGAGGCTCCAGGTACGTCTTCTTCTGCTGCGTCAGCCTCGGCAGCACGGTCGGCGAAGGAACGAAGGCCCGCGAGGCCGTCGGTGGGGTCGTGTGTGTTGGCAATGTTGTCCAGGTAATCCTGCAGCGTCAGTCGCTCGTAGAAGATAACATCACGTGATGCCACCGTATTTTTGTCTTGTATGTCGAGGATTTTCCATGCGTGAAAATGTTTGGCGATGCCGAGGTGTAGTCCCCACCGTGCTCGTTGAGTGAAGCGTCCTGCTCGGGCTGTGTGGGGTCTGTACTGTACCATGCAGCCGAAAACTCGAAGTAATTTTGTGCTGCCCCTTTTTCGTGTCCACAGCAGGTACGGTGATGCGTTGTTGGGAAGCGATGACGATGACAACAGATTGTGCAGGTGGACTGCATGTGTCATCGCGTTTGGCCACAGTGTGTTGGGCAGTCTCATCCCCAGGAGCAGCTTTCGCATCGTCGTCTGCAAGGTCCGGTTCATTCGTTTTGCGACCCCCTGCTGCTGGTGAGCGTAGGGCAGGAACACCAAGCGTCTGATTCCTTTTTCCGCCAAGTAGGTCCTGAAGCGTTGTGACTGGTATTCGAGTGCGCCGTCTGACTGGAAGCTTTTGAGCTTCGTTCCTGATTCTCGTTCAGTGATGGGAAGCCACGTCTTGAAGGCTTCGAAGGCTTGGTCTCTCGTCTTGAGGTTGTAGTGCCAAACATATCTTGTTGCTGCATCGATGAACGTTATGACATAGTTGAAGTCGGATTCAGTGTCGTCTCGAGGCATGTTTAAGATGTCGCTGTAAACCTTTTCCATCGGTGCGTATGCAGGTGCACTTGGATTGTGATGTGACGGAAAAGGTTGGTGTTGAAGATCTGCTTCGGGGCATGTGAAGCACCGTGCGCGAGGTCGTCGAAGTTCCTGTCCGCTTGTTGTAAGGAGAGCGTTTCATTCTAACACTTCGGCTTGGATGGTTTGTAGTATCGTGCTATTTGCAGGATGCCCAAGGCGTTGATGCCAGATGTCGTCGGGAGCTCGATGGCCGGGCGATCGGTGATACATGTCGGTGTTGGAGAAGAACGCGACGACGGTGGCGGGACTTCGGCAGACTTCGCGTATGGTGGGCATGAGTTGATCTGCTTCGGTTGGCGGTCCTCGGATTGCTGGTCGTAATACTCTGCTGGGTCCTGCTGCTATTAATTCAGGTGATGTCGATCAAGAGACGCTTGCCGGTACTTGTCTTTCTTGTCGAATGACTGCTAACGCCCGTGTTCTCTCTGCTGCAGGTATGGTGTTGGAGTACCAGTATCCATCTTGGTTGAAGTCGGGGTCAAGGTCCGGTGGGTGCGTCCATGCGGCGAATGATACGATGCCATCGCTACCGGCGGTACCGCGGTCGGGGACGAAGTCCAACACGAAGACGCCGAACTTTAGTAGAGCGCAACCGATGAAGAGACCGCCCTTCCCGTGGTATGGGCGAAATTCGTTGGAGTCCGAGTCGCACTCCAGGTGAATTCCTTTTGCCATTAACTGGCTGACGCTTAGTAAGTTGCATCCCGAGTTGTTGACGATGAGGACCTTGTTGAGTTGCATTATAACATTTGTCTCCATGGATTGTAACTGAACCACTCCTTGTCTGTTTGTCTTCAGGTTCTCGTTGTTGGCGACGGTGATGATGACGTCTCGGTTGAGACGTCGTTCTCGTTGCACGAACCGCCCGGAAGAACACATGTGTTGGCCGCAACAGCTGTCCAAGAACTAAGTGTTGTGTCCGGTGGGTTCGGAGTTCGCGACTGCAGCGTACGTTGGTTTGACCTGAAGTCCCTGTGAGCGCGGCGGCGACAGTTCTTCTTCATCGGGAGCGTAAGTTGGCGGTGATCCGGGTGCGCAGTTGTCGATGTGTACCATGCAGTTGATGATATTCGGTGTATTTTGTGCAGATGTGGAAGAGTGCCTCGGCGGACTTACTTGAGTGGAAGCGACTTGTGGGTCTACTCGACGATAAGCTCGGGGACGTGTGCAGTTGACTTTGGAGTGTCCGGATGTTTGGCAGTTGTGGCAGAACGGCGGTACAATGGTGAGTCCTCTGTTGTCGCGTTGATCTTGCCTGCCGCGTCGGTTGTAGTTGTTGTCGTGTCTTCGTTGAGTGTAGAAGACTAATGGTTGTTGTTTCCTTGGTTGTCTTTCTTCAAACAGGTCCATCTCCTGTTGTTCAGCATGGAGCTCGGCGCAGAGGTGTATCTCCGAGATTCGGCCGTGGGCGCGAAGGAGCGAGCGGGTGGTTTCGCCATTCTGGCCCGAGCCCAGGGAGGACAAGCGTCACGAAGCTTTCTTCAGTGATTGTTCCTCCGCACCGAAGCAGGCGGTCGCGGAGTGTCTGGCATCGACTCATATATTGCATCGCTTTTTCCCCGGTCTTCATCTGTATTGTTGTCAGCTGTTGCATGAGTCTGCTTTGTGTCACGCTGTCATTTGCTTGATAGAGGCACTTGAGGTGATGCCATGCGAGTTCCGCGGAGTTTCCGTAGCTCCTATACGTTATGATGCTTTGCTGTTCTTGTGGTGACAGGTTCCGTAGGAGAACTGTGTACGCCAGCAGCGACTGATACATGAAGATTTCTTGTTCTTTTGCAGTGCCGTTGCTTGGGAATGGCAGGGACCCGTTGAAGTATCCCAAGAGATGCGCAGCCTCCATCAGCAGCTCGAACTCAAAACTCCAGGTAAAGAAATCGTGTCCGTTGAATGGTGAGGATGTCTGCAGTTTAATCACGTGTGAAAACTGCGCCTGGAGACTTAAAATCTTGTTTGGTGTCTGTTGTGATGCAGCTGCTGTTGGTTGGGCACGGGGCGGCATGAACTCGAACGTCCCCGGTGAAGAGTGATAAGGCGCAAAGGTAGGCGCTTGATTGTGTCGCCCGAACGATGAGTTGTCGAGACTCATTGGCGCTTATCCCATGTTTCCTCCGTTGCTTTGTGTTGAATGCGCAGATGTCCTTGTCTGCTGCTGCTGGTCGAAGTGTGACATGAAGCTGAAGAACCTTTCCATAAGGTTCGGGTCCACGCTTGAAGAGGGTGATGGGGTCACCATTTCTGGTGCTCTTCCTGTTGTTTCTTGAGCAGCGCCGGTCTCGGTTTGCAGCCCTGAAGTGTGCAGTCGAGAGTTGCCGGGTTGAGTATCTTGGGCACTGGGTGAGCCCGTAGAGGTTTTCTTGCCCTTGCTGTCCATGACTTGTAATCAATGAAGTCGTTGGTGTGCTGATTGTAGAGAGAGCGTAGTTGCTGGGAGTTTGGTCTCTGACCAGCTCTCTGTTAAAGTAACACTAGGCTAGGATACTAGGCAGGAACAAGGCCGCCATGAATGTGGCGGCGGGGTTTAGCTAGGAGCTGGACGAGAGTGTCGAGAGAAAAGAGTACTGGATTAGGAAGAGAGGGGAGTACAAGGAGGGGTTTGTACCCCCTACAGAAAGGTTCAGTAACAACCTACCAAGCCTATATAAATTATAACTTATATAATTTGAACACACCCCCTAGGCTTGGTAGTCACACACCCACCCAACACACCACACACCCCCTAACCTAGCACCCCCATTCCAGCCACAGGGACAGCGACACTAGGGCGGTCGACCCCACGGTGCGTGAGGCGGCGACGTCGACCGCAGGGGCTGCGGCGGCGACGGCGGCAGCGGCGGCAGTGTCGACAGCAGCGGCGGCGGCGGCGTGCGGCTGCGTGGCCCCGACGCAAGCGGCGACAGCGGCGGCGGCGGCGGCTTCGACAACAGCGGCGGCGGCGGCGGCATCCGCACCTCTCGGTGACGTGGCCAGACCCCGCGAGGGTGGGACGGCCGGCGGGAATCAGCCGTCAGCTGCGGCAAGATACAGGACACAGGGGAAGGGGGGGCGGGGCGTGGTCCAGCCTCACGCTTGAGGCTGGCGTGCGGGCAGCAGGTGTGGCGGCGCCATGAACGTCGCGCGGCAAGCTGCCGTCCGACGACGCTGCCACGGCAGCATTACGACGCCTACACATCGCGGCGTCGATGCAGCGGTGGGACGTCGCCGCTGCGATGGTAAGCACGGCGCCGTCACAGCAGTGTGGCGTCGACGCCACGCTTCACGACGCGACGGCACGGCAGGAACGGGCATGGTCGCCACGGCGGCACGGCAGGAAGTCGGAAGGCAGTAAACGAGAACACAACGGAAGCACGGAGGGGAGCAGGCCTAGGAAGGACGTCCTGCTCTCGATACCATGTTAAAGTAACACTAGGCTAGGATACTAGGCAGGAACAAGGCCGCCATGAATGTGGCGGCGGGGTTTAGCTAGGAGCTGGACGAGAGTGTCGAGAGAAAAGAGTACTGGATTAGGAAGAGAGGGGAGTACAAGGAGGGGTTTGTACCCCCTACAGAAAGGTTCAGTAACAACCTACCAAGCCTATATAAATTATAACTTATATAATTTGAACACTCTCATACCATGTTGGGCTGAGAAATGCCCTTAGGATCTTTCCAGAGACTAAGTCCCAGTTGTAAAAGACTTGAGTAGTGCAGTGGAAGTTGAGGTAGTTGAACCCTTGTACTAGTATATGAGAACAAGTGATTGATTAAAGTGAACAAGCATACAGCAATATATAGAAAGTAAAAACAAGCAGTTGTAGAATACAGTTGAATGGCGGTTATCGAGTCGCGCAGCGACTCGATTGTCGCTTCGGTTACCATTCTTGCAGTTGTAACGGTCAGTCGCAACCTCCGGTAGCAACCCTTCGAGTCCTTTCGTGTTCTTTGTCCACCCCCTCGTGTAACCTCCGTTGACTTGCGTACTCGTTACGATCTTCCTCGAGTGTGGTGTTATACTTCAGAAACGCTGAAGTCATTGAGATATTCCCAACAGAATTGAACCAAACAGTAGAGTGAAGATCGGCCTTATGGTGCAAAGCTGGAGCGGGGTTTGAAAATTTGGAGTGGCATGTAGGGTGGCAAATGGTGTTGGGTCGGACCGCTACGACAGAGCAGTGGTTCCTCCTGTCGTGATGCACGCGTGGTCCTACAGTAGTGGTGGTGTCAGGTTATTACAGCACAGCACTATCTTCACAGTGGCTGGCACAGTGGCACCGAACCTCATGCTAGCATCTGCCATCTTAAGCGGGCAGCTGGTCCTTGGTGCACTCAGGCAGGCCGTCATCGAACGGGAACTCCCGGGGGGCCTGAAGACGGGATGGGGGGAATGCAAGGGAGCACGGGCGGCATGACGAAGCATCACAGGCTGTGGCCAAACCATCAAGCTGGCAGCTTGTCCTTGGTGCACTCAGGCAGGTCGTCATCGACCGGGAACTCCCGGGGGGCCTGAAGAGGGGGTTGGGTTGGGGGAGTGCAAGGGAGGCATGAGGAAGCATCGCAGGGGCCAGTCGGGCCATCAAGCCGGCAGCTTGTCCTTGGTGCATTCAGGCAGGCTGTCATCGAAAGGAAACTCCTGGGAAGTCTGTAGGGCGGATGGGGGAGCACGGGGCAGTGGGGGCCAAGAGGGGGAGGCAGTGGGAGACACAAAAGATGTGTGCAGGCAAAGCAAGCTGCGTCGAATGCATACCACCCATGCAACGGGCGTCTTTCTTCCAGGTGCGTAAATAAATGCAGAGACACGGGTGTGCAATCGACTCAAGTACAGTGAGATGTGCAGGGCATTGTGGCAGCGAGGAAAACAAGCCCATGCGAGGAAACAGCAGTGTGCTGCACTCCCAACAACAGTGTAGCCATCCAATGTGCCATACCCATGGAATCCGGGAGGGCTTGTTGTTGACAACTGCAGCGAGGCCAACAAGGGCAAACACTGACAGGCCGACTTTTGAGTCGACCGAGTGGGGGATGGAGATCAACATACCCATGGGATCCGAGAGGGCTTGTCGTTGACCACTGCAGCGAGGCCAACGAGGGCGAACACTGAGAGGCCTGCTGCCAGCCATTGGAGCGCCGTGTTCTGATGGGGTTGGGGATGGGGAGGGATGGGGAGAGGGGATGGCAGAAGGGAAGAGGAGAGGAGAGGTGGGAAAAAAGGGCGAAGACTGACCAGACCTGCTGCCGGCTCTGCTGTGCCGTGGTCTGATGGGATGGGGATGAGGGAAGGGGGGAGAGGAGGTGTTACAAGAGAAGAGAGGAGGAGAGAGGAGGAGAGAGGAAGGATGAGGGAAGGGGGAGAGAGGAGGTGTTCCAAGAGAGAAGAGGAGAGAGGAGAAGAAAGGAGGGTTGGGGGTGGGAGGAGAGAGGGGGTGGTTACAAGAGAGAAGAGAGGGGAAGAGCTTGGGGGACCTTCTGCAGGGCCTGGAGCCGGCGCTCGGGGACTCCCAGGGCCGCCTGGCTAGTATCCTTAGATGGGTCCTACGGGTCCTCACACTTGCTATGCACGTGCCTTTGCAGGGTGCTTTTGAGAATTCTCAAAAACGCCCTGGCTAGTATCCTTAGATGGGTGTTAGGGTCCTCACACTTGCTATGTACGAGCCTTACCTACCATGCCTGTAACCCCTTCCTACCTACCATGCCTGTAACCCTTCCTACCTACCATGCCTGTAACCCTTCCTACCTAATACAAGGACAGATTGAGATTGGGGAGAGAGGCACAAGGGCAAACACCGACAGGGCTTCTGCCAGCAACAGGAATGCTGAGACGAGACGACAGGAGGAGAGAGAGACGACCATAGGGGAAAAGGCGGCAAGGCGACTACGCGACAAGGCGAGGGATCTATCCTCTCACAGATGGCAGGTTCGGCAGGCAAGACTCACAGACGGCAGGTTCGGCAGGATGGCGTCTGTAGCAGGCTCGGGATTCGGCGTGCCGTCGTACCACGTGAGCTCGTCGCTCTCTGGCAGCTGCAGAGAGGGGAGGGCAGAGAAGGAGGGGAGAAGAGGATAGAATTTTTTAGAATTCTCAAAAATGATTCCAGAGGACAGTATAGATAAGTAGACGGAGAGATCAGAAGAAAGAGGATCGGGAGGAAAGCGGAAAATCTAGGGAGCAGGTGGGTTCTTGGAGCCAGGAAACCAAAAAATCGCTTGACGAGACGATCCAAGCGACGGTTTTTGAAATGAACAAGGCTACAAACGAAGGGAGAATGAATGACAGCTTCCAGGCGGCTGTACCGCGTACAGACGGAGACGGAGGTGTCAGAAAAATGACGGAGAGCACGATGACGTTCTGCGGAACCCTGAGGAGACTAACGGGTGTTGAGAGGGACGACTTTTGATGACCTCCCGCCTGTCGGAGGTGATGGGAGGGACGACTTTTGAGTCGACTCAAAAGTCACCTCGTGATCGGAGGGACCTCCCGCCTATCCACCCATCCACCCATCCACCCATGCGACACGATTCTGTGATCTACGGCAAGCACGTGCCTCGGAGGCGGGTGGACGTCCGAAGCCGAGGCGCGCTCCCGCGCCTCCTCGAAGCGAGAGAGCCGACGCTTGCGGGCCGACGAGGCGCCGACTGAAGGCTGACGCGAGAGATCGCATTGGGGAAGCCATGGCTGCTACGAGTGACGAGAACAACACTCAAGTCACAAAGCTTGGAGAGCTTGAGCAATGAACTGTAAAACATCAATATATAATTTTTAATAAACTCATTAACATGTCTGGATGGTGTAGTCGGTTATCACGCCAGTCTCACACACTGGAGGTCTCCGGTTCGATTCCGGGTTCAGATAGAGATGTTTTTGTTTTTGACGACCTGCCCAAAATCTGATATCTGTCAAACTCGCAACGAGCCAATCGGGAGCAGAGTCTAAAAGTCATCGTCAACAACCAGCCAATCTTACTGGTTTTTCGACAACCCCCCCACAAACCGCTGACCGTCTGGCTGTCTCTGACCGTCTGCTTGCCGGCAACCGCCACTTCAACTTCCCCTGCCCAACTCTCCCTGCCGCTTTACTGTTGCAGATTTCAATGGCTTCCAAATTCGCAGCAAATTTGTCTCACACACCATCGTAGCATTGTAGCCTGCTACTGCTCTATCCGAGTCGAATTCATTCACGAGTGGCTTCTAGAGTAGTCTCGTCTGGAAGTGGGAGCGTTTTGATTCGTCAGGTCTCATTCAATCTTATTATCCTGGGAGTGAGGCGGTGTCGCTGCCTCGCGCGGCTCGTCGCTGTCTGGGGGGAAAGGCAGTCGGCGATGGCTCGCCTGGTTACTGGCGTTTCGCGAACGAGACGGAGCTCGTCGTCGTTGTCGCTCGTGCTATTTCTTCTCGTGTTACTCCTGCTCTTCGCGAACGTCGCTCGCTCTGCTAAGATCACCTTCATTAGGAAGAACGGCAAAACCTTCGTGATTAAAACGGGCGACGACGACGATCTGGACGACGACGATGATCTAGAAGAAACGGATGGCGAGGATTCGAAGCGAGAGGGAGGAGGAGACTCGTCAGGAGGAGCAGCAGCAGCAGCGGGAGCCAAAAAATCGCAGGCGAAAAGCGACGAGTCTGACGATTCTGATGGTTCCAAACGGGTCGAGGCGCTTAAATCTGTCAAATCGCCCGAGTCGGTAGCAGCGGCGGCGGAAGCGGCGGCGGCTTCCGCGCTAGCAGCAATGGCGGAAGACCCCCTCGTGGAGAAGTACAAACAGGAGCCGTTGGATCCGGGATCCTGGCGGACAGCTGTTGAGATGCCATTGGCGGACGTGCGCCGGCGCGCGGAGCAGGGGGACGCGGAGGCGCTGTGGGCGCTGGGGGTGAAGCGGGTGGTGGGCGCGGGGGGGAGGGGGGGAGTGGCGCGGGATATTCCCAAGGCGCTGATGCTGCTAGAGCGATCCGCGGAGCAAGGGTTTGCGCACGCGCACTCCGCGCTGGGGTTCCTCCACGCGAGCGGATACGGCGTTCCGCTGAATCAGGTGGGGGGGATTGGGGCGGAAGGTGGGAGAAGGGGAGTTTGGGGGAGAGTGGGGGGATGGATCGAAATGACTCGATGCGACATGCTGTAACTGTGACACGGATTAATAGGGAGTTATTTCCACCACCCAAGTCAACCCTCCCATCCCATCCCGTCCGCCAATCAGGTGAAGGCGTTTCCCCACCACACGTCTGCCGCCAGTGGCGGCAGCATCCACTCCAAGATGGCCCTCGGATTCGCCTATCTTCCCCGCTTCCCGCCTCCACCCCCCCTCCCCCCAACCGCTCCTTCCCTCCCCCAACCGCTCCTCCCTTCCCCCAACCGCTCCCCCCCTCCCCCCAACCGCTCCTCCCCTCCTCCCCTGGCAGGTGAAGGCGTTTCTCCACCACACGTTTGCCGCAAATGGCGGCAGCATCCACTCCAAGATGGCCCTGGGATTCGCCTATCTGCGCCAGCAGGAGTTTGAGCGCGCCGCGGCGCTCTACGCTGACGTGGCAGCCAAGTCCATGGCGGTGAACAGCCTCCCTGGGCTGGCGCCGCTGATAGAGACGGTGCACCTGAGCGCGGGGGGGGAGGAGAGCCTTGAGGCGACTAGAGGACACAGAGGGGAGGCGGATGAAACCATTCAGGTGAGCACTATCCCGGCGGGAGGAATTCAACTCAAGTCCATGGCGGTGAACAGCCTCCTGGGGCTGGCGCCGCTGATAGAGATGGTGCACCTGAGCGCGGGGGGGGAGGAGAGCCTTGAGGCCACTAGAGGACACAGAGGGGAGGCGGATGAAACGATTCAGGTGAGCAAAGTAGTTTAGTTTTGAGACGTCTCAAAACTAAACTAAATAAACACGGATGAAACGATTCCGGTGAGCTTTGGGACGGCTCAACCAGGCCAGTGAGAGAATGCACGTGAGGGTTGCCTGGCCCCGCTGGTAGAGACGGTGCACCTGAGCTGGGGGGGAGGAGAGCCTGGAGGCACAGAGGGGCGACGGACCAGGGGGCACAGAGGGGAGGCGGATGAGACCATTCAGGCGAGAAGCATTCACGTTAGGTCTGCTAGGGCTCTCAATATTGCGTTGCGTTGCGTTGCGTCGCGTCGCGTCGCGTTGCATTGCGGGGATTTCCGCCCTTCCCCTCTTGCCCCATCCAACTCTCCAGTTCACCGAGTTGCGGGCATTGCGGGCATTGCGGGCATTGCGGGCATTGCGGGGAGCAGTGGAGGCCATTCGCACGCTGGGCACGCTCTACCACTGGGTGATCGCACCTGATGGCACCTGATGGCACCTGATGGCACCTGATGGCACCTGATGGCACCTGATGGCACCTGATGGCACCTGATGGCACCTGATGGCACCCCTTCCCGCCCCCATCTCCCCTCCCCGCCCTCTCCCCCCCCCCCCCCCGCCCACACACTCGCCCCAGTTCATTGAGCTGCAGGCGTCACGGGGGGCAGTGGATGCCATTCGAACGCTGGGCACGCTGTACTACTGGGGCGCGAGGGGCATGCCGAGGGACCATGTGCGGGCGTTCGGACTCATGAAGAAGGCCGCGGAGATGGACGACCCGCATGTAAGGCGTACATCACGGGCAAGAAATTCTGGGTGTTATTTGCTCGTAAGCCACGCTGGGAGGGCTCTACCACTGGGGAGCGAGGGGCATGCCACGGGACCATGTGCGGGCGTTTGGGCTCATGAAGAAGGCTGCGGAGATGGGTGCCCGCATGTGAGTGAGCGGTGATCTGTGGGTAAGAGATGGCTGCATGGTCGCCATGAGCCGCGCTGAGAACACTGTGTTTCTGGGGGACCACCAGGCGCGTGCCCAGGGACCATGTGCGGGCGTTCAGACTCATGAAGAAGGCAGCGGAGATGGGCGACCCGCATGTGAGTGAGAGGTTACCTCTGCGAAAGAGATGATTGGCATGGTTGGCATGATGAGCTTGGTAGCCACACTGGGAGAACTCTATTACAGGGGGCGAGGGGCGTATGCCGGGACCATGTGCGGGCGTTTGGGCTCATGATTCATAAAGAAGGCAACAGAGATGGACGACCCACATGTGAGTGGGAAGTGAGTCGCGGGTAAGGGATGGCTGGATGATGGGCGTGAGTGAGCCACGCTGGGAGCACTTCTTTTGAGTGGACTGTAAAAGCGTGAGCCATGTTGGGAACACTCTATTCCTGTGCGGGCGTTCGGACTGATGATGGAGGAGGGCAGCAGAGATGGACGACGACCCGTATGTGAGTGAGGAGAGACTCGCATGCAACCTATGGCTGCCTCGGTGGGCATGATGGGCATGTAAGGCTCACTGGGGACGCTCTTTTACTGGGGGGCCAGGGGTATGCCCAGGGACCATGTGAGGGTATTTGGGCATTTGATTCCAGTCAATATGGGACTCGTCGAGAAAACAGGCTCAATCCAGCACTTGAGTGAGGGCCTCTGAAGTGCTGGCTCGAGTCATTCTCCTCGTACCATTCCCCCCCAACCCCTCCCTCTATTGCCCTTGGCTGGCCTTGCTGGCTCTGGGTGCGATGCTCACGCATGGGGTGGGGTTGGTTCAAGAAAGCCCACACCAGAGGGCTCAGTATTGGTTGTCTACCCTGTCTGTTCCCGCCCCGTTCCACCCTCTGACGCTGGCAGGCCATGCCATGCTGACGCACGGCGTGGGGTTGAAGGCCAACTCCGGCGAGGCCAACTTCAAGAAGGAGAAGGCCTATGCCAGACGGGTCGTTAGTCATGCTTCTCATATCCCCCCCCCCCCCCCACCTCTATTGCCCGTTGCAGGCCATGGTGACGCTGGGTGAGATGCTCACGCATGGGGTCGGAGTGAAGGCGAACTACGGCAAGGCCATGGAGTGGTTCAAAAAGGCCCACGCCAGAGGGGTCGTGAGCGCCCTGAATGGCGTGGGGTACCTGCATTCCAAGGGGCTAGGGGTGCCTCAAGACTACCACAAGGTAGGGGTGTTTGATGCACAAGGGGATGTGGCACGCCTTGATGCCCAATGGCGTGCTCTCTGCTCTGAATGGCGTGGGGTACCTGCACTCCAAGGGGCTGGGGGTGCCTCCAGATTATCACAAGGAAATGACACACATGCCTGTCCGATGGGCTCAACCCATCTGACAAGCATGAGCCCATCTGACATGCATGAGCCCATCTGACATGCATGAGCCCATCCGACATGCATGAGCCCATCTGACATGCATGAGCCCATCTGACATGCATGAGCCCATCTGACATGCATGAGCCCATCTGACATGCATGAGCCCATCTGACATGCATGAGCCCCTCTGACATGCATGAGCCCATCTGACAGGCATGTCTGCCAGATGGGCTCATGCCTGGGTGTGCCTCAAGACACATGGCTGCCAAATGGTAAATACATGCTTCAGCTCTCTGGTCTGGTGGGCTTCCCCAAGGGGGGAGGGATTACCACAAGTTAATGAGTGCTCTTAATGGTGTCGCTGTTTTCATCCTTGTTTCCCCCACGCTCCCTCTTGCTTCTCCTCCTCTGCCCCACCTTCGTCCTCAGGCTGCGCAAAACTTTCTCACGGCTGCCCGGAAAACTCGGGATGTGGATGCTTTGTACAACCTGGGCATGAGCCACCTGAGGAAGCAGGGCGTGAGGCGCAACCCCAGCAAGGCGCTGCAGTTCCTGCAGCAGGCAGTGGAGGGGCAGCACGTGGGGGCTGATACGTGAATGCCATGTGTGCTCATGCCCCCCCCCCCCCTTTTTCTTTACCAGGCGGTCCAGAACTTTCTCACACCTGCCCGCAAAACTCGGGACGTGGATGCTTTGTACAACCTGGGGAAGAGCCCCCTGAAGGACCAGGACGTGCGAAGGAACCCCAGCAAGGCGCTGCAATTCCTGCAGCAGGCAGTGGAGGGGCAGCACGTGGAGGGAGCGGCAAAGGAAGTGCAAGCCGCTTCGCATCCCAATGCACCCTCTTGCTTTTTCTTCTCCGAACCTCCCATGCATCCCTCAGGCCGTGCAAAACTTCCTCACTGCTGCGCGGAAAACTCGAGATGTGGACGCCTTGTATAATCTAGGCATGAGCCACTTAAGAGGGCAAGGAGTGCGACGGAACCCCAGCAAGGCGCTGCAGTTCCTGCAGCAGGCAGTGGAGGGGCAACACGTGGGCGCCATGTACCAGATGGGCAAGATGCACCTCGCAGGCACTGGCGTGCCCAAGAACGTGGTTGTGGTGAGTGGAGGCGGGTTGCTGTGAGTATAATGGGGTGACTGCAGGGCTGTGACAATAGGGAGGTCTGTTCCTGCACTAGTTCCTGCAGCAGGCGGTGGAGGGGCAGCACGTGGGCGCCAGGTACTGGATGGGCGAGATGCACCTTGCGGGCACGGGCGTGCCCAAGAACGTGGTTGTGGTGAGAGGCGGGGATCGTTATTGTGGTACCACAGGGGATGGGGCTAGGTGTGTGTGACTGTAGCGGGGCGTTCCCGAGAACATTATCATGGTAAGGTAGGGGTGGGAATGGAGCATTGTGTGTCAGTGTGTGCTCATAGGGAGATGCAGCACTAGATCCTGTAGCAGGCGGTGGAGGGGCAGCATTTGGAGTCATTTTTTTAGAGTGTATTTTTGAGGCGCCTCAAAAATGGACTCCTCACGCCTGGATTTTTTAGAGTGTCTCCACGGGCAGATTTTCAGAAATGACTCCACTCCACTGGAGCAGTGTCAGTCAGTGTGCATTCTTAGGGAGATGCAGCTCTAGTTCCCAAGAACGTTATCGTGGTGAGAAGGATGTGGGTGGGGTGTGCCTATGCCTGTTGCATGTCTTCCACCTAGGGCCCTCCCTGTGGCTCTCTACCTATTTTCTGTGTTTCTTTTTGAGGCGCCTCAAAAATCGTCTCATGTCTTTCACCCAGGGGCCCTCCCTCTGGCCCCTCGCTACCTAGTTTCTGTGATTCCCCATCCCCCCCTCCCCCCACACACCCCCCTCCTCAGGCTGCTCGTTCTCTAAATGCAGTGGCAGTGAGAAATCCCTCTCCCGCTGCCCTCTCTTGTTTTCCAGGCTGCTCGTTTACTCAAGGCAGTGGCAGAGAGGGGTTCATGGGGAACGATGCTACGATGGGCCCACGCCTGCTTTGTGTCTTCCGCCCAAGGCCCCTCTCTCTGGTCCCTCCCTGTCTTGGTGTGTTCTTGTGATGCCATCTCCCACCCTCAGGCCGCTCGTCTACTCAAGGCAGTGGCGGAACGAGGCCCGTGGGGAGTGATGCTGCGGTGGGCGCATGCCTGCTTCATGCTGCAGTGTGTGTGACGCCTCACAGTGGGCGCATGCCTGCTGCATGCCGTCCACACAGGGCCCCACTCTCTGCTCCCTCCCCGTCTTCCATGAGTCTGCTGATGCCTTTTCCCCCTCAGGTTGCACGTCTACTCAAGGCAGTGGCAGAGAGCGTGGCCCATGGGGGGTCATGCTGCTGTGGACCCACGCCCGCTTTATGTCGTCTGCCCAAGGCCCTTCTCTCTGGTCCCTCTCCCGCTGTCATCTTCTGTTCTGCTGTCTAACAGGCTGCTCGTCTGTTAAAAGCAGTTGCAGAACGCGGCCCGTGGGGAGTGATGCTGCGGTGGGCGCATGCCTGCTTCATGTCGTCCACACAAGGCCCCTCTCTCTGGTCCCTCTCCCGCTCCGCCGCCTCCTCCTCCGCCTCCTTCTCCTTCTCCTTCTCCCTCTCCTCCCCCCTCTCGCCCTCCTCCCCCCGCTCCTCCTCCTCCGCCGCCTCGCCCTCCTCCTGGCCTGCGTCCTGCGACGTGGGCACGTCGCTAATGCTCTACTCACGGGCTGCTGAGTTGGGGTACGACGTGGCTCAGGGCAATGCTGCTTGGCTGCTGGATAAAGTGAGTGCCTCTCTTGCCCCTCTCCCCCTCCGCCCCCTCTCCCCCTCTCTCCACTCCTCTTCCGCCTCGCCCTCCTCCTGGCCTGCGTCTTGTAACGTGGGCACGTCTCTATTGCTCTACTCACGGGCTGCTGAGTTGGGGTACGACGTGGCTCAGGGCAATGCTGCTTGGCTGCTGCATAAGGGTGAGCCCCATTCCTCAGGTTTCCTTTCTACAGATCGTCAGGGCTCCTCAGGGCTGGTCAGGGTTCGTCAGGGTTCCGTCCTAAACCCCCCCCCCCCCCCCCCCTTCCCCCCCTTCCCTCCCCCCGTTTGCACCATCCCTACAGGTGGTTGGCAACTCTGTTCTCGACAATGCATGCGTGGGCCCTCCTCGCAACAACACCCCATCAACGCCTTCCTTACTGGAAAAGGCTGACACGGCCAGCCAAGCAGTAGACGGTGGTGCAGCAAATGATGGGAGTGCAAGAGACGGGGAGGGATCAACAACAGGTCAAGAGGGATCTGCGGCTGTGGAGACATCGCAAGCAGATGAGGCAGGAGGCGATGGAGCCGAAGGGGAGGAAAGCAGAGTGAAGAGGCAGCAGGAGCAGCAGGGAGGACCGAGCAGCAGCAGCAGTAGCAGCAGCAGCGGTGGCGGCGGCGGTGGCGGCAGTGGCGGTGGTGGCAGTGGTGGTGGTGGAGGTGCAAGCAGGGGCGGGTGGAGGAGGTGCAGTGAGGCGGAGAGGCACGAGAGGTCGCACCGCCTGTGGCAACTCGCAGCTGAGCAGGGCAGCGTGCAGGCGGCCTTACTGCTGGGGGACGCCTTCTTCTATGGAAGGGTAAGTCTCTCCACTAGGATATACGAGAGTATCACGGGTGAGTGTCTGTTGGGTCGACATGAGGAGGGAGCTGGCACGCACATTGAGGTGCGTCAGCTTGCAGCAGAGCAGGGCAGCATGCAGGTGGCGCTGCTGCTGGGGGACGCCTTCTTCTATGGAAGGGTGAGTTTCGTATGCTGCAGAGTGGGGCAGGCTGCAGGCTGCAGTCTGCTTTGCTGCTGCTGCTGCTGGAGATGCATCCGCCTATGGCCGGGCAGGCCAGGTGCTTGTGCTGGCAGGTGAGGCAGCACAGAGCCTGCTCAACCCTCCCTCTTCTCCACCTGCTCACCCCCCCCTCCTCCCTGCCTGCTCACTTACGTGCAAGCGGTGTTAGAATATACTACTATATTCACTAGTCTACATAGATTTGTTAGTCTTGAGTAGAGTTAAGCACTCCACTACAATTAGGGTGCAATAACCCTAATTGGAGGTTGGGTTCCCAAATTGGTTGGGTCCACAACTATTTGGGACCCCCAATAATTCCCAACCAGAATTATTGGTGGGGCCCAATAAACTTGGCCAACTCCCAACCAACCCTCCCTTCCTTCCTGTTCTCACATTCCTATGTAAACCCTTGTGCTTTCCTTCTAATCAACTTTCTGATTTCACGTTTTCTCACAAGCTGACCCCACCCCACAGGGCCAGACGAGGGATAGAGCGGGCAGCAGAGGCGTATTAGGGGGCGAGGGAGAAGGGCAGTGCGCACGCCATGCAAGGGGCCCATACCAGCTGCATGCTACCCCCCACACCCCACTCCCCACGCCCCATACCCCACACCCCACGATTGAACCCACCCCGCAGGGCCAGGCGCGGGATCTAGAGCGGGCAGCAGAGGCGTACTGGAGGGCGAGGGAAAAGGGCAGCGCACACGCCATGTTCAACCTTGGGTTTATGCACGAGCACGGCATGGGGCTGCCTAGGGATCTGCATTTGGCAAAACGCTTCTACGACCAGGTGTGTGATGGGGAGAGTGATGTATGGGTCAAGTGAACAGGGAGAGGGGCAGTGCGCACGCCTTGTTCAACGGGGCTTGATGCACGAGCACGGCATTGGGCTTCCTAGAGACCTGCATCTGGCCAAGCGCTTCTACGACCAGGTGTGGTTGGGAGCGAGTGTGGTTGATGGGCCAGGTGAACTTGTTCACAGGGAGAGTGGCAGTGCGCTCACCATGTTCACCCCGGGCTTCTTGCATGAACTTGCATCTATGACCAGACCTGGCTTTGCACATGTTCACCATGTGCATCTATGACCCAGTATATTCTTCCCCCATGACCCCTTTGGCAGGTCCTCGATGCCTTCCCCCGTGCCGTGGTGCCTGTGAGAATCGCCCTCTTCGGCCTCTGGCTGCGCATGCAGTACGGCCACTACCCTGCCGTGGTGAGTGTTGCTGGTGGTGTTATTTTCCAGCACTCGGTGTTTGTTCAGTGCAATGTGGGCGTGTATAGACTGTGAGAATCGCCCTCTTTGGCCTCTGGCCGCGCATGCAGTACGGCCACTACCCTGCCGTGGTGAGTGTTGCTGGTGGTGTTATTTTCCAGCACTCGGTGTTTGTTCAGTGCAATGTGGGCGTGTATAGACTGTGAGAATCGCCCTCTTTGGCCTCTGGCCGCGCATGCAGTACGGCCACTACCCTGCCGTGGTGAGTGTTGCTGGTGGTGTTATTTTCCAGCACTCGGTGTTTGTTCAGTGCAATGTGGGCGTGTATAGACTGTGAGAATCGCCCTCTTTGGCCTCTGGCCGCGCATGCAGTACGGCCACTACCCTGCCGTGGTGAGTGTTGCTGGTGGTGTTATTTTCCAGCACTCGGTGTTTGTTCAGTGCAATGTGGGCGTGTATAGACTGTGAGAATCGCCCTCTTTGGCCTCTGGCCGCGCATGCAGTACGGCCACTACCCTGCCGTGGTGAGTGTTGCTGGTGGTGTTATTTTCCAGCACTCGGTGTTTGTTCAGTGCAATGTGGGCGTGTATAGACTGTGAGAATCGCCCTCTTTGGCCTCTGGCCGCGCATGCAGTACGGCCACTACCCTGCCGTGGTGAGTGTTGCTGGTGGTGTTATTTTCCAGCACTCGGTGTTTGTTCAGTGCAATGTGGGCGTGTATAGACTGTGAGAATCGCCCTCTTTGGCCTCTGGCCGCGCATGCAGTACGGCCACTACCCTGCCGTGGTGAGTGTTGCTGGTGGTGTTGGTGGAAAGCGCCTGCATGTTTGTGGCCATCCCTTTCTCGTCCTTTGCTCCTACTTCTGCTCCTTCTTCCACCTGTCCCTTGTTCTCTACTCCATCTGTTCATTTTTACCACTCCTCATCCCTTGATCCCCCCCCCCCCCTCCTCCCCCCTTTCCCCCTTCCAATCTAGGCTTTAGGATTCCCTGTATGAGGTTGGCCCATGCAGTCTGTCTCGGACCCATCTGTTCCGTCCATCCCTTACACGCTGTCATCATCGCCCACTTCCTCTTCACCCCCCGCCCCCACCTATCCTGCCATGACTTGCTGTCTGAGGTTTGCCCTATGGTCTGTCTCTGACCCATCTGTTCCATCCTTCCCTTACACGTTCTCGTCATTTCCCACTTTCTCTTCGCCTCCTCCCCCTCTTTCCCATGCATACCAGTCCAAGGCGTTGGATCTGCTGCCTGAGATAGGCCCCATCACCTCAGATGCGATAAAGGCTTTCTTGAGGGATGAGACCAACGCGTACATTGCTACTCTAATCGCCCTCCTGCTCGCCGTCCTCTTCCTGCGCTCGCAACGGCGGCAGCAACGTGTGCAAGCATAATAATATCTATCGTTGCGGCATTGTCCTTCTCTCCTGATGAATGGGCCAACACATACATCGCAACTCTGCTCGTGTTCCTTACCTTCCTGCTCTCACAACAGCGGCAGCAACAAGCGCAGGTCTCATCAGTTTAGTTGATGTTTGTTACATGAGATTTCTCCCCTGCAGGATGAAACCCATGTGATTAACACTACTCTCCTCATTCTCCTCCTCGCCATCCTCTTCTTGCGCAACGAGCTCTTGTCCAAGGGGAAATTGGTTTGCATGGCAAGCCCAAGGTCTTGTGCAGTAATTTGCAGTACATGTAGTAATCACAGCTGTGGTGTGAGCTTGACTTGGGAAGCATTTGAAGGGAAGGGATGTTTTCTATCAGGGATTGATACAGTTAAACTAAGGTAGCTAGGAACGGTAGGAAGCCATAGAAATTGCAAGAGGTTTTAGGTTAGGAAAGTTGAGGAAAGAAAAGAAGATTGGGAATAGAAGAGAGAGTGATACAAGGAGGAGGGTTGTACCCTCTACAGTAGGTTTCAGTAACACCTACCAAGCAGGGTCCTTGCTAACTTTTAGGCCTGTCTGATAATCAGATCAAGTTTTTTGCCTTCGTCTGACGTTCAGACGAAAAAATTGCACGTGTCTGTTTTTTCAGATGAAAATAATTGATGTGTCTGAAAAATCAGACGAAAATTTATCGCAGAATTGTAGTATATTACACTACGTACTTTATTCAAGTTTTCCGTACATTCACACTCCTCGCAAAGTCATACTTCTCGTGTGCAGGGTGGGGGGGGAGTGGGGGATTTTTCACGCTTGCTGATGTGTCGATGTGATTTTCTACCCTTGCTAATGTGCACTGGCTCCCTCGATGGGCTGGAAGGAGGAACTGGCCCGAAAGTTTTGTCCGCTAGCGGACCCAGAATATTTTCCTTTGTCAAACATGTGTTTTTGTTATGTTTGCATAGACTGTATAGGGTCACCTCTTAGAGGGTACAACACTTAGGTATATCTATCTGTACTCTCCTATCTATCCATTCACTTCTCTCAATCTGATATGGTATCACGCGTAGGTTAGGATCCCCCCACCTACCGCTTCCGCTCGTCCCCTAGCTCGGCCTCGCCGTGCCTCCCCCCTAACCCCGTCGCGACCCCCTGGGCCCCGTCGTGCCCCTAGCCCTGCCGCGCCCCTCCTGGGCCCCGTTGCGACCCCCTAGTCCCGTCGCGACCCCCTGGGCCCCGTCGCGTCCCCCTAGCCCCGTCGCGACCTCCTAGCCCCGTTGCGACCCTCCCGGGCCCTGCTGCGCCCCTCGCCCCGTAGTGCCCCTCCTGGGCCCCGTAACGCCCCTCCAGGGCCCCGTAGCTCCCCTCCTGGGCCCCGTAGTGCCCCTCCTGGGCCCTGTCGCGCCCCTCCTGGGCCCCTCCTGGGCCCCGTAGTGCCCCTCCTGGGCCCCGTAGAGCCCCTCCTGGGCCCCGTCAAGCCTTCAGGCCCCGTCGCGCCCTGCCCGGCCCCGTCGCACCTGCCCGGCCCCGTCGCCCCCTGCCCGGCCCCGTCGCACCCGTCCGGCCCTGTCGCGCCCGCCCGGCCCCGTTGCGCCCCTGCTGGGCCCCGTAGTGCCCCTCCTGGGCCACCGTCACGCCTGCAGGCCCCGTCGCACCCGCACGGCCCCGTCGCACCGGCCCGGCCCCGTCGTACCCGCCCATCCCCGTCGCCCCCGCCCGGCCCCGTCGCACCCGCCCGGCCCCGTCGCGCCCGCCCGGCCCCGTCGCACCCGCCCTGCCCCGTTGCACCGGCCCGGCCCCGTTGCACCCGCCCGGCCCCGTCGCACCGGCCCGGCCCCGTCGCACCCGCCCGGCCCCGTTGCGCCCTGCTCGGCCCCGCCGCGTCTGCCAGGCCCCGCTGCACCGGCCCGGTCCCTGCGCTCCTCCCTGCCCTGGCCCCTTCATCCTCACTGGTACGGCTCCCCCCCCCCCCCTGCACCGCCCTGCTCCGCACTGCACTGTCCCGCACCGCACTGCACTGCCCTGCCCCGCACTGCACCGCCCTGCACTGCTCTGCTTTGCACTGCACTTCACTGCACCGTACTGTCCCGTCCTGCACTGCCCCTGATGGCGGCGGAGCTTCGCTTCGACGCTGAAGGGCAGCCTCTGGAGTTCGAGGCGTGGCTTGCCGACCTCCGGCGCCAACTCACTGGCCAGCGGCAGGATGGTGAACCGCTTTCCGCACACCTTGACGGTACGCTTCCCTGCCCAGACCCCCCTGCTCCTCTGCCCGCTGACTCCACACCCACTGAGCGCGAGTCTACTGCTGCCACTGCCCGTGCGCGCTCTGTCTGGCTTTCTCGCGATGCTGTCGCCCAGCTTGCCATTAGCAACGCCCTTCCCCCGTCCGAGCGCCCTCGCTTTAGGTCCCTCACTACTGCTCAGGCATACTTAGATGCTGTCATCAAGCGCTATTCCACCCCTCCGGCTGCCTCGGTGGGTCGCCTGATCCTCCCGATGCTCTTTCCTGACCTTGCATCTTTCCCCACTGTCTCTGACCTCGCTGCTCACCTACGCACGATAGATGAGACCTGGCGCGCTGCCTGCACTGATGCACAGCTTAGAGCCCACCAGCCGCCCATTACCTCTACCCTTTACCTGCTTGCCACCCGCCTCCCTGACCGCCTTGCTGTCGCACGCGACCGCTTCCTTAGCATGCACCCCGCAGACCTCACCCTCACTGACTTTGTCGACACCCTGACTGTGATTGAGACCCGCCACCGCTCCATCGCCCAGGCGAGCGGTACCGTCCCGGTCCCTATCTTTCAGGGTTGTGCCCCCGCCCAGTGTACCTTCTCCGACGGCTCTGCCGCTGTGGCTGAGACCGTTGCTGCAGCGCAGTTTCGTTCGGGGAAGGGCCGCCGCCCCAAGGTTGGGCGCGGCGGAGGAGGCGGGGGTGCGGGAGGGGGTGGTGGTGGAGTCGGGTCGTCTGGTGCTGGAGCGGACGAGGGGACCCTGCCCAGTCCAGCCGAGCCGCTGCCCCTGCAGTCGCAGCAGCAGCAGCCGCCGCAGTCGCAGCAGCCGCAGCCTTCGCAGCAGCCGCAGCAGCCGCCGCAGCCGAGGCAGACGAGTGTCCTCCCGCCCAGGTGGCCCGGCGCTGGCGGTGGTCGGGCGCGTGGTGGTGTGCCGAGTGGTGGTTCCGGGGGCGTGCGTTGTCAGTACCAGATCCAGACCGGTCCTCGCCGTGGATCGTTTGCGGTAAGATCGGTCACTCCACTCCCCGCTGTTTTCGTCGCCTGGACGACCTGTTTCGTCAGCGCTTCGGCCCGTCGCCAGACCTCCCGGACTGGCACAGCATGCTTAGACGTAGTATTCCGAATTTTGACCTGGACATGGATGCCATTGTTGCTGCTCTGCATGTGATGTATGCTGATGACTCTAGTGTGCTTCCCGCTTATTACTCACTGTTATCTAGTGTAGGTGTGCCTAGCTTAGCTTCCCCTGCTGCGTCAGGCTTAGGATCCTCTGCTTTGTTTAGTCTTGGTGCTTCCGCCGTCGTCCCGACGCCAGACGCCTCTGCCTCGCTTTCCTTCACCTTGGACTCTGGCGCTTCCCGGTGCTTCTTCCGCGACTCCACTACACTGACGCCGCTTCCTGTTCCTGCTGCCGTTTCTCTTGCTGACCCCTCCGGCGGTCCGGTAGTCGCCCGCAGTTCCACCACCCTTCCCTGTCCGGCGGTTCCTTCGGGCTCTCTCACAGGTCTGCATATCCCCTCGTTCTCCAGGAACCTAGTTGGTGTCGGCTGCCTCCAGGACCTTGGCGTCACCACTACGTTCCCTGGTCACGAGCGGTATGCTGTTTGTACCGAGGCCGCCACTGGTGCCCCCCTCTCCACGTTCCCCCGGGACCCGGTGTCCGGCCTGTTCACTCTGGACACCGTGACCCCCCCGGCTGGAGCGCTCCCTCAGGTGGCTGCGTCTTCCCAGGTTGCTGCTGCCTGCTCCTGTCGGTCCCTCACTCACCCGACTCTCCTTTGGCACCACCGCCTAGGTCACCCTGCGCTCCCGCGTCTGCGTTACATGTCCCAGCACGGTCTTGTCCTCGGTTTCCCAGGTTCTCTCCCCGCGTTTCCCTCCTCCCCAGCCCCACCTTGCACGCCTTGTGTCGAGGGTCGGCTTCGCCGTGCCCCTCACTCCTCCTCGTTTCCCCCTACCGCCGCGCCGCTGTAGACCCTGCACCTGGACGTCTGGGGCCCCGCCCCCGTCCCTGGGCCTCGTCGAGAGCGCTACTTCCTTGTGCTTGTCGACGACTTCACTCGTTACACCACAGTCTTTCCCCTGGAGCGGAAGGCCAACGTGCCTGGCGCTCTCATCCCTTGGCTTGTCTCTGCGCGTGTCCACCGCGGTCTCCCTGTCTTGCGTCTTCACTCCGACCGTGGTGGCGAGTTTGCCTCAGGTGTCCTTGGTCGCTTTTGTCGTGCGGAGGGCATCTCCCAGACGTTCACCCTACCGGACTCCCAACAGCAGAATGGGGTCGCCGAGCGACGCATCGGTTTGGTCATGGAGGTGACTCGCACCTCCATGATTCATGCCGGTGCACCCCATTTTCTGTGGCCGTTCGCTGTGCGATACGCTTCTCACCAACTTAACTTGTGGCCGCACCCTCAGCGGCCGCAGGTTTCGCCGACCCGTCTTTGGACTGGGTCTCCTGGCGACGCGTCTGCGTTCCACGTCTGGAGCTGCCTCGCTCACGTCCGTGCCTCCGGCACGGACAAGCTCACTGCCCGCACCCTTCCCTGCGTCTTCCTCGGTTTTCCCCTTGACGCGTCCGACTGGCACTTTTACCACCCGCCGTCTCACCGCTTCTTTCACTCTCGCGACGTCACATTTGACGAGTCCGTCTCCTACTACCGTCGCTTCCCCCACCGTGGTCCCCCGGTTACCCCCCCCCTGTTCCTCGTCACTCCTTCCCCGGTAGTCCCTGTACCTCCTCCTCCTCCTCCCCGTCCTGCCCCCTCTGATGTGTCCCACGTCACCCCCCTTCCGTCGGTGGACCCGGTTGAGGAGTCTTCTGACTCTGGTGGCCCTGCTGTGCAGTCCTCGCCGACCGCCCCTCCCCCGGCGTCCCCTCCCCCGTCCCCTCCTCCACCGCCTCTGCCGCCGCTGCAGCCGTCGTTGTCGCTGCCGCCGCCGCCGCCGTTGCAGCCGCCGCCGCCGTCGCAGCACCCGTTCGCTGACTCTGGGGGTGCTTGTCCCGGTCGCCCTGGGGGTGGTCCCTCTGGGGGTGCTGGTGTGGAGTGTGCCGGTGGTAGTCGAGGAGCAGCTTGCGGTCCAGGTGTCGCCGTTGTGCCGCCGCAGCAGCAGTCCCCGCCGGTGTCAGCCCTTCGCCTGCTCGGCCTTCCGTCCCCCGACCTTGCGTCTGTTCCTCCTCTTCCCGTCTACGGCCCTGTGTTCCCTCCGCCGGACTCGTCCCCGGCCCGTCTCCCCCCTCGTTCCCCTCCTGTGTCCCCTCCCCTGTCTCCTGACCCGACTCCTCCGTCGCACGTGTGGTCTCACCGTCCCTCCCGTGCTCGTCCTACCTCGCCTGTCTTGGGCTCCCACCC